TCATCATCTTCACCGTCCACAGCTATAATTGCATCCTCCTCACAACAGCAAGGTTCTTATGAAAAGAGTTCAAAGACTACAACCACTACTACCTACAAGACAACNACAAGAAGAACCTACCGACAACATTATGAACACTCATCTTCTTCAGTACAAGGCGCTTCATCCTCAACTGCTACTGCTGCTATTACCTCAGCTGCTTTAACATCTACGGCTAATTCACCACCTCGATTATTAGTTACACATGCTTCATCTAATAATGTTACTCCTAATAATAATTCAAGTATGAGATCAGAGAACTCTGAATGTGTTGATGTTTTCAAGTCCATTGAAATGGATACAAAGTATACCACAAAGAAGATGAAGTTTATTTTATATTTGATCTATTACTATGTCTACAACTACTTTTTAAGATACCTTATTATTTTCCATATCATGTAAGTTTTATTGTTGATAATATTCCTTAATAACTTTATAATCATTTATTTATTACTACTAATAACAATTATGTGTGTAACATTTCAACAGTCCAAGATCATGGTTCAATCCAGTCTATTTTGATAGAGAAAGAATAGTAAGAACACATTCAAATGTTGAACAGAATAATCATCAAAGATTAATAACCAACAATCCAAAACATAGCGCCTCTCTCAATGCCACAACACATCCTTATAAGGAGCTCAAAACCAAGTATAAATATTATTACCCTAACAATGAAATCTCCAACTCTAAGTATACACTATTTACCTTCATACCACATAATATCACTACACAATTCCTTACTTCTAACATGAATAGGTACTTTTTAGCTATTGCTTGTTTACAATTATGGAGTGAAGTATCACCTGTTAATCCTATTACTACTTGGGCTCCACTCATTGTTGCTCTTCTCATTACAGCTGTTAAGGCATTATATGATGATTTGAAGAGATTCTACAATGATTACAAGTCTAATTTTAAAACATTTACTGTTGTTAATAGAAAGTATCTTAATACATCATCTATTAATAATTCAAGACAAGATGATTTCCTTATAAAGATTAAATCTAAGGATATTAAGGTTGGTGATATTATTAAACTTGAAGAGAATGATGAAATACCAGCAGATTGTGTACTCATTCAATCAGCGAATGAAAATGGCATATCCTATGTTACTACAGCAAACATGGATGGTGAAGTTGATTTAAAGTTAAAACAAGCACCAAGAGATTTAATACCATATTCGCATGATAAGTTCCTTCTCACATGTCCAATGTTTGTTAAATGTGCTCAACCTAATAGAGATATGTATACATTTGATAGTACCATGTTTTTATATGACTATAGCACATTCCCAAATAATAGTCGTAGCAATAATGCTGATACTTGTGAAGAGAAAATGAGCAATCATAGTTTGTCAATATCAGAAGCAGCTAAGAATTCATCCAATCATTTAAAGATTGTTTCATTGAGTGCTGAACAACTTCTTTGTCAATCATGTCATTTAAAGAATGTTTCATTCAGTTATGGTTTAGTTGTTTATACAGGAAATGAAACAAAATCAGGTATGAATAAGACTAAGGCACCTAATAAGAAGGCTCAATCTGATTACAAGATTGATAAGATGTCAATTGCTATATTTTTCATTCAAATTGCTATTGCTATAATTGGTGGTGTTTTAGGTATTTTATCAAATGAAAAGTTATTGAAAGGAAGAAGTTGGTATTTGGCTATTAAGGAAGGTTCAATTTTAGATCCATTTGTTGTTATGCCAATTAGATTCTTCCTCTTAACAACTTATATGATTCCAATTTCCCTCAAAATTACAATTGACTTTATGAAGATTATTTTCTCATTATTTATTGAATGGGATTTAACTTTATACGATCCAAAGAAGGATTGGCCATGTATTGTATCAAATAGTGATATTTGTGAAGACTTGGGTCAAGTTAATTATATTCTATCAGATAAAACTGGTACATTAACAGAAAATAGAATGATATTTAAGAAATGTTCTGTTTATGGTCAAGTTTATGACTTTGATGATAGTGGAAATGATGCAGTTAGAAGTTTTATAAGATCTGTTAAAACACTTCATTCATATCAACAAAATAATGATTTTTATGAAAGATATTATTTAGATGATAGAAGTGAATTACGACCATTTTTAGTTACTCAATTCTTTACAGCACTTTCACTTTGTCATACATGTAAAAGAGAAGGTAATGAATATAAGAGTATTAGTCCAGATGAAGAATGTTTGGTAAAAGCATGTCAAACAGTTGGTATTGAAGTTTATGAAACTCAACATGATTTTTATTCATTGAAATATAATTTAATGGATCCAAATGGTGGTTCAACTAATGGATCAGTTACAAATTCTAATATTCAATATAATACTCTTATAAATGAAATGAACAGTGCTAGAAGTGGTAATAAGAGTGCACGTAGTTATTCATATAATCATACAAATTCTGGAAATGTTTCAGTGAGTCAAATTATACCTTTGATTGATAGTGCAATTGATTCTGAAAATAATACTGAAAAGTATGATTTATTACATGTATTTAAATTTACATCTGATAGAAAGAGAATGAGTGTTATTGTAAGAGATGTTCATACTGATAAGGTTATACTTTATTGTAAAGGTGCAGATGATATGATGTTATCTTTGATGAAAAATGATTTTTGTTCAAGTGATTTGAATCAAACTTCAAAGAATCAAATTAATGAATTTTCAAAAACTGGTTTAAGAACTTTACTTGTTGGTTTTAAATATATTGAACCACAAGAATATAAAATTTTTGAAGATAAATTGAGAGTTGTTAGCACTTTATCAGAAGGAAGAGAAGCTGAATTATCAAAACTTTATTCAAATATTGAATCAAATTTAACTTATTTAGGAATAACAGCTATTGAAGATGAATTACAAGAACAAGTTCCACAAACAATTAAGAAATTAAGGCAAGCAGGAATTAACATGTGGATGTTAACTGGTGATAAACAAGAAACTGCTCAACAAATTGCACTTTCATGTCAATTAATTGATGGATTGAATTCACTTCATGAAATTAGTGGTCAATCAACAGCTAATTTGAATGAATGTTTAGTTAACATTTTAAAATTAGTTAAAATTCAAGATAATTACTCTGTAATTGTTAATGGTTTTACACTTTCATTAATAATGCATCCTCAACATGATAAGAAGGAAGTTGAACAAATTGATATGGCACTTTTTGAAAAGATTTTAATGAATGCAAAAAGTGTAATTTGTTGTAGAGTTACACCAGGTCAAAAAGCAGATATTGTTTCACTTGTTATTAATCATGATAAGAGAGCTATTAAGAGAGAGGAAAATATGTTTAAGAGATTTCTTCACATGTTAAATTTATATTTATTTAAGAGAAGTGTAATTGCATTAGCTATTGGTGATGGTCAAAATGATATTCCAATGATTCAAAAAGCTCATGTTGGTGTTGGTATTGCTGGTAATGAAGGTTTACAAGCTGCAAGATCTGCTGATTTTGCTGTTGGTAAATTTAGACATATTATACCATTGTTATTTAAACATGGTCATTTATCATATCACAGAACTTCAATGATTTCACAATTCTCTTTTTATAAGAATGTTTTATTGGCTTTGATTCAAGTTTTATTTAACATTTTTACTGGTTTTAGTGGTATTTCTATTTACAATGAGTTGTCTCTTGCTCTTTATAACTTTGTATTTACTGGTATATTTATATTTACATATGTTTTTGATTTTAATTCAAGAATGGATGATTTAATTACAAATCCAGCTTTATATAAGTCTTGTCAAAAGTCTAAAAGTCTAAACCCAAGAACATTTTTAACTTGGATTGGTATTGGCTTTTTACATGCTGGTATTATTTTATCATTCACTTGGTTAGCATTCAATGATAATAATTCATTTATCAGACAATCAATAGATAAGGATTATATGGGACATGTTCTCTATTCTAGTGTTTTATGGACTTCAGTTTTATCATTCCTAACGTATTCAAATTCATTTAATATTATTAATATGGGTGTTATTATTGTAACTTTGATTGGTTACTATTGTTATTTGGCTGTTTATGGAAATGCGGGAGCATTCTTGGGTATTACATCACCAATTCTTAGTGCTGTTCCTGGTGGTAAATATACCTATGGTGTTTTTAATCAAATGATGATGGATCCAACCAATTATTTAATTGTTCTTTTGAATTCTGTTGCATGTTGGGTTTCCATTTTAGCAATTAGAGGTATTGAAAAGTTAATTGAAGGTTATCCATTAACATCATCAAATTTAATTGGAATGATTACTGGAATAACATCTCATACTCATGGAGCAACTGAAATTAAAGTTGTTAAGAGAAACCAAATTGTTAATTCAAGATAAATTAATTTTTATAATATATCGCTTGTTTTTTCTTAATTTTATTAAGATTCAAAGGTATTGAAAGAACAGTAGTATTTTAAAATCAAAAATGGAAAGTTATTATTTACAAATTTAAGCTCGCACTGTATTACCATGACTTGATGATATTTGCCTCTTTGGTACATCCCTCTTTACAACTTGTTCATTTGTTGATTGCATTCTTTTCTTTTCCTTCTTTTCCTTCTTTTCCTTCTCCTTCCTCTCCTTCTTTTCCCTCTTTTCCTTCTCTTCTTCTTCCTGATTATTTATAGAATGGAATCCTTCATTCTTAATTTTTAACAAAGTTTGTTCCATATATTTTGCGTCCAATGTCGTTGAGGACAGCAAATCTAACAGAATTTCATTCTTTAATTTAAGTAATCTATTCTCGTCTTCTAACTCTTCCATTCTCTCCTTAATATTTTGAAGATCTGTGTGATCCAGTTTTATATATTCTCCTTGTCCTATTTCTCCCATATATTCTAACGATCCAGTATCTGGATTAACCTTTATCATCATCTTCCCCAGAGTACATTCTATTGGCGTTTTTCTATTCGGGAGTGAATCAGTTTGCAATCCCGTCTTTGAGGGCTTTCCTGCGAGATATCTTCTAAGCTTTGTCCATGAAGATGACATTGTGTTGTGTGTTCTATTTTTTTTAAAATGTTATTTTTGATTTTTTTCAAGGTCCATTTTAACGTAGACTTGAAGGCGGGAAATTGCGTTAACGGTCAGTGTAGTCTTGATTGAGAATGATTCAATAAGGTCTTGAAATGGCGGGAAATAATTCATCGAGAAGTTGCAGGAAATCACCACTAATCATTAAGTTACATATTTGACATTTATGATGGACCATTCAACATCATTATTTGTAAATTTGTTTAAGATTTGGATTCGAAAATTATCAAAATAAAGCATTGAATGTTGAACACGAACTAAAAATAAATTAATTATTTTAAAAAAAATGTCCAACCACCAACAACGAGATAGTTATCACTCATCACATCACCACAACGATCATAGAGGCTATAGACGAGAGGGATCTTCAAATTATTCTAGTGAGGGAAGTAGACATCCATCATCCTTTAATAATAACAATTTCGGCCCACCTTCTTCATCATATCGTTCATCCCGAAATGATGATCATCAATACCGCTATAACGATAACAACAGGCAGTACAATAGATCAGATGATAGAAGTAATAATTTAAAAAGATCATATGATGATTATAAACAAGAAACAAACAAGACTTCAGAGTCATCAAACAATACAAACCCTCAACTAAATACAACAGCTACTACCACCACCACTTCATCTAATAATACAAAACCAACTACAACAACAACAACAACATCCGATACTACCAATACAACAACAACAACAAGTGATGAAAATGAAAAGAAAAAGGCTAGACTCGAAGCTTGGAAAAAGAAGAAAGAAATGGGAGCTCTTCAAAAATTGGAGGAAGAAAAGAAACAAAAAGTTCCTGTTCCACCACCAAAGCCAGTGAAGAAACCTCTCTCTTTTGGAACTAAAAAAACTGTAAATAATAACATCAAAATAAGTGTTCTTAATATGGACGATGATGAAGAAGAAACAACAACAAAACAAACTAATTCGTTGAGTTTTTTGGAAGAAGAAGAGAATGTAAATACTAACATGTCTGATGATGAAGATGATGATCTTGAAAAATACATGTCAAGTATTCACAGTGAATTAAAACAATCAGAGAAACCAAAAGAAATTGATAACGGTACGTTAAGTAATGAAAATACCGACCTGAATTCTTCTGAAATTAGAAATCAAAAAGGACAAGTTTTATTCTCTGATGACACTGATGATGTCGATTTAGATAGTTACTTTATTGCAAAAGATGATATTACCAATAGAAATTTGGAGGGATTATCTGAATTCCAAAAGCAATCAAAGAAAGATTTAAAACAAGTTGATCATTCAAAAATGGAATATCTACCATTTAGAAAGAATTTCTTCATAGTTCCTCGTGAATATGCTAATATGAGTGAAAATGATATTGCAGAACTTCGTAAGGAAATGGGTAATATCAAAGTACACGGTCATGATATTCCTCCTCCAGTTAAAACATGGACTCAATGCGGTTTGAATGATACTATATTGGGAGTATTGGAAACACATGGTTATACTAAACCATTTGCTATTCAATCACAGGCATTGCCATGTATTATGAGTGGAAGAAATATTATTGGTATCGCTAAAACAGGTAGTGGAAAAACATTAGCATTTGTTTTACCAATGTTGAGACATGTTTTAGATCAACCTCCACTCAAAACTGTAGATGGTCCAATAGGAATTGTGATGGCTCCAACAAGAGAATTGGCTATGCAAATTCATTCAGATATTGAAAAATTCTCAGCACCACTCATGCTTAAAACAGCTTGTGTTTATGGAGGAGCTGGTATTGCTGAACAAATTGCATTATTGAAGAATGGTGCTCACATTATTGTGTGCACTCCAGGAAGACTCATTGACTTGTTGTGCGCCAATAGAGGTAGAGTAACAAATTTAACTCGAGTCAGTTTGGATCTAGCATTCTTATTTTTGTTGATACACAAAATGGCGTTGGAGACTTGTATAAGGATTTAGTATCAGCAGGTTACAGAGAAAATGTTTGTACTCTGGATGGTAGTATGGAACAAATAGAAAGAGATTGCACTATTTCTGATTTTAAATCACAAAAGTTTAATATTATGGTTGGTACCAGTGTTTGTTCAAGAGGTTTAGATGTTCCAAGTATTAGACTTGTTGTTAACTATAATTGTCCAGATCACTACGAAGATTATATTCACAAAGTAGGTAGAACAGGCAGAGCTGGAAAGAAAGGAGTTGCCTATACCTTTATTTCTACTGATGAAGAGAAATATGCTCCTGATTTGGTTAAAGCTCTCAAACAATCTAATAATCCTGTACCTGAAGATTTACAAAAACTTTGTGATAATTATCTTACAAAGAGGAATTTAGGTCTAGTACAAGGTCAAAAGAAGAATGCACTTCCTGGTTTTGTAGGTACAGGTTACAAATTTGATGAAAAGGAGGAAAAACAAAAGATGGAAGAAAAGAAACAGATGGCATTCTCTTATGCTCTTACTAATAACGATGATACTATACTGGATCAAATTGATATTCAAGAAGTTGATGAGACCAAAAAGAAGGATAAATCTCAAAAGAAAAAATCAAAGAAAGAAGAAACTGTTGTTGATAGAGCAACTAAGGCTGCTGATGCTGTTTATAAGGATATTGAAAAGGATGATACTATTACAGAAGAAGAGAAGGCAATTCAAAGAGCTCAACTCTTTGCTGCTGCCCTCACTGTACATACATCAATATCTGAAAAACAAAAAGAAAAAGAGCTTTCTCAAATGATTTTGGCTGGAGTTGTAAATATCAATGGTCTTTTCCGAACTGAAGTTGAAATTAATGATTGGCCAAGAGGACCTCGTTCTGAAGTTCTCAAAAAGGATAGCCTTCATAGTATCCAACATTTCACCAACACAAAGATTCAAATTAAAGGCACTTACATTCCACCTGAAACAAAACCACAGAAAGGAGAAAGAAAGCAATATTTGATTGTAGAAGGTGCTGATGAAGGATCAGTTCATCAAGCCAGAACTCAGATATTGAGTGTTCTAGGAGAAAGTGCTTCGGCATTAGGAGACAAACGAGTTACAGGAAGATTCCAAATTGTATAGAATTCAATAAATAAATTATTTATTCAAACTTTCTTCTCTTTTGGAATTCTTCCATTTCTAAAATCTTTCTCTTAAGGAAAGATACATCATTTTCAAGTTCCTTAACTCTAGAAGCAACAGTCCTCAATAATTCACGTTCTTCCTTAATAGCCTTTTGAATAGCTTCTCTGTCTTCATCAGTTTTACAACATTGACTAGCAGTCTTTCCTTGTCTGTTCACATACTCGTGAGCAATACCTTCTTGGATAAGAATAGCAAGAGTTTTTGTCTTTGATTTTTCGCAAGCATAGTGAAGTGCTGTGTTTCCAAAGGTATCTTGAGTATTAATAATACTATCCAAAATATTTAAATCCTTGCATTTTTGGAGATAATATTCCATCATGTCATCAGAAGCTTCCATAGCAATAGCATGAATCAAGGATCTTTTGAATGCTCTTTCATTAATGGCTCTCAACTGTGATTTCAAAACCTCAGCTCCATTAGGAATATTAGTTTCAATATAATTACAAATCCACTTGAAGCCATTCAAATCATTGGCAATGCATGACCAATAAATTGGATGGTACTTTTCATCAGGGACTTCAAATGAGAATTTCTTAATAAGTACTTCCATCAATGGAATATTTTTCTTATAGGCTGCCAAACTAAGAGCATTCATTGGATGATAGATACTTGATTTATCCTTAACCATGCATTTGTGTTTTCTTAAAAGGAATCTTTGTGACAAATGAGCATCATCTACAACCCAGTCAATAATCTTTTGACTGTTATGCCAAATAGCTAAATAGAAAGCATTCCATTTTCTCTTAACCTCATCTGATAACCTTTCTTCAACAATATTAACACTTGAAGCATTGTTTGTCATTACCAAATTATTTAAGTGACACAAGTGCTTGGCAATTTCTACTTGATCTGTCATACAAGCCATATGGAATGCATTTTGTTTAAATTGATTTGTGGATGAAATTGAGGCACCAATAGAAACTAACCAATCCAAAATGGATACATTAGGGAAAAGTCTTACACTGTTAACAAAAATATTTTTCAAACCTTCTGAAATAGAACTTTCTGCAGACTTGAATTCAGTAACTTCTATTTTAGAAATACTTTTCTTTTGTCTTTCAATAAAATAGTTTCTTACAATTAAATATTGTCTAACAACATATCCAATAATTGGATCATTCATAAAATGAACATCAGATGGAGAAGCATCTTTAACAGAGTCAAAAACAGTCTTAAAACGTCTATAAAGACAATCAAAAACAGAGACTGATGTTTCCTTTTCATTCTTGGTTTTTCCTTGAGCAGATTGTGGAGGAACAGGGAATTTAGTTTGCACAAAGAAATTAGCAGGGAATTGAGAAAGTAAATGTGAAATCTTTGCATAATTCTCACTGTCAATAGCAACCTTCATTTCTCTAATAATTTGTTTAGGGAAATATAAATCATTAATGGAAAATCTTAAATGTGCATTTTGGTTCAAAAATTCTTGAATTTGATTTTTAAGTTCAACATCTTCAACAAGTGCCTTGTCAGAAACTACTTGATTCGTTAAAGGATCTGTTAATTGTTGTTGTTTTGAACTTAATGTTTTCCACCATTGATCAATGCTCTCTCTTTCATATACCTTACCATACATATTTCTTACAGGAGAAAACATAATTAATTTAGTGATTGGACAAATAAAATTGTGAGGAATTTCACAATTTTCTGTTGTAATAGTTGGAGGAATAATGTCATGCTTAGAAAGATCAAAGAGCTCCTTTTCTTCTGGTTTTGGTGAAACTAGTTGTTGTAACGGTTGTTCATCTAAATTAGCAACATTAATTGATTCGTGCGAATTGTTGTTATTATTATTATTAATGGAAAAAGGAGCATTATTACTATTAATGGCTGCAAGCATACCAATGACCGATGGAGGATGCGATGCCAAAGTTCTCAGGTAAAGCGAAGAAATGTCTGTCACGGTTGTTGGTAATCTTGAGGGATATGTTGAAGGGAGGAAAGGGAAAAAACTATCCCTTGAATTCATTGGATCAACATTTTGAGGTGATACAGAAGATGATCCATTTGCGTCTTCCATTAATTCTGTAGAAACGCTAGTTGGACTATCTTGATTTGTCATCAACGAAGAAGGACTAGAATTGTTAGTTGGCATATTAGTAGGGTAAAAGGGAGAGAACGGAAGGGTTTAGTTAAATTATTTGGTGTTGTTGTTGTATTAATTGTCATCATGGTAGTTGGTGAGTTGTTATTATTAATTAACGTCGAATGTTCCACAAGAGGATTAGTGCCATTATTTGAATCATCATTCATTGCATCATGAAGACTATTTTCATCCAAACTTGACACTACCATCATGTTGTTAGTAGATGTTGAATTATCTATATTATTAGACTCTTCTAAATCAATGCTATTATCATCATCATCTGATATAAAATTTTGTTCATGTTGTTGATTGTTGTTGTTATTATTATTTTCATTATTTTGGGAATTACGGATCATATTGAAAGGAAGTTGTCGAATTGGAAAGCAGTTGTGTGTGTTCAAAAAACAGCGGTTAACAAAAAACTGGTGAGAGGAGTTAAAGCAGCTGCAATTTTTTTCTTAGAGTCTAATTTAAAAATACACCACACAAAATGCTTTTTCAGATGGAAGGGAATAACTTGCGAAAATACTCAAGATTCATTCCTCTAAGGAGCTTCCTTGGTTCATTGTTGGGCGTAAAAAAAAACACCACTGAACATGGAGTGAAGAGATGATGACTTGGCAATTTTGGTTATTGGATTCTAACAGCAAAGAAATTTCAAGGCTGCACAACAGAGCAGTTGTAAATGGCGCCATTACGAATAATGGGAGATGATCATCGAAAAATTCAGTATCATCATACACGTTTTGGGAATGTTGAGTTCATCATGATGATGATTTATGAAATTGTATAATACCTAATGATTGGTGGTGAATCAGATCTGAACTGAAATGAACTCCTTTGATACCCTTTCCACTAAAGAAAAGGAAATCATTTACAAAGACGTCCCAATATATTATTACATGATCTACAATTAGATGATACTCTTTTCATCTTTAAATTCTTTATTGTAAGATTTGTTAATGTTGACATAGTAGTATTTTAATATGAGAAAGTTAATATACTAAAAGATAATAGCTGTTATTGCAATAAGGTGGGATAGACTTGGAGTTTCTCTGTGTATGACATCTTGGTCAAATTCGAATCTTTTCTAGTAATTAATTGCAAAACTAAAAAAAATAGATAATTCACTACCTTCCAATAGTATCTTTCAGAGAAGAAAAATTCATTCTTGACTTGTGCTAAGTTTTGCTTTACAATCCGAAAATTCAATTGGCAAAAGTAGTGTGTGAATATTAATAATGGCAACAAATGCACAATTGTTTAATCCTAGGAGTATTTTTGTTTCATCAAGTAATGATGAAGTTTATATTGCTGATACTGGTAATCACACAGTTAGAAAGATATTGGAAAATGGAAATATTGTAACAATAGCAGGAAATGGACAACAAGGATATAGTGGTGATAATGGTCTTGCAGTAAATGCACAACTTGTTAGTCCATCATATGTTTTTGTTTCATCAAAGAATGAAGTTTATATTGCTGATTATCAAAATAACAGAATTAGAAAAATATTGGAAAATGGAAACATTATAACAATAGCAGGAAATGGACAACAAGGATATAATGGTGATAATGGTCTTGCAGTAAATGCACAACTGGCTAGTCCATCGAGTGTTTGTGTTTCACTAAAGAATGAAGTTTATATTGCTGATTCTGGTAATCACTCAATTAGAAAAATATTGGAAAATGGAAATATTGTAACAATAGCAGGAAATGGACAACAAGGATATAATGGTGATAATGGTCCTGCAGTAAATGCACCACTCTTTGATCCATCAAGCGTTTTTGTTACGCCAAATGATGAAGTTTATATTGCTGATACTGGTAATCACAGAATTAGAAAAATATTAAGAAACGGAAATATTATAACAATAGCTGGAAATGGACAACAAGGATATAGTGGTGATAATGGTCCTGCAGTAAATGCAAAGTTGTCTAGTCCAGTAGATGTTTTTGTTTCATCAAAGAATGAAGTTTATATTGCTGATTACCAAAATACCAGAATTAGAAAAATATTGGAAAATGGAAACATTATAACGATAGCAGGAAATGGAAAATTAGGATATGGTGGTGATAATGGTCTTGCAGTAAATGCAAAATTGTATAGTCCAGTAGGTGTTTTTGTTTCCCAAGATAATGAAGTTTATATTGCTGATTATCAAAATAACAGAATTAGAAAAATATTGGAAAATGGAAATATTATAACAATAGCTGGAAATGGAGAATTAGGATATGATGGTGATTCAGTATTTGATTTTTCAAAATATCCACACATTGGCCCTATATATTCTTCCACGTATGGCAAAGCCAAGTTGAAAAAACATTCAAGAGATTTATTGTTTAATTCATCAATTTATGCATTCATTCCTCTCGTTGAAATGGTATCACCACTATTTTGTAAATATATTTTAAAGAATGAATCACTAATTTCATCAATGAATTCAATTCAACAAGAAATTATTCAAAAATTAATTGACTCTTTAATTTATAATAATGAAATTCAATTGAAATTTAACAATGATGAAATATTGGATGTTTTATTCATTTTAGGATTTTTCAAGAATAATGAATTTATTCAATTGAAAAAATTATGCACAACTCAATTTATTCAATCACTTACTATTCAAAATCTTTCATTTAAATGGGAACAAATTGAAATTTATCTTTCTCAATGTAGTGATTTTCATTTAGAAAATTATATTCTTGAATATTTGAATAATTATTGTGTTGAATTTGCTGCCATTCAAATGAAAACTCCAGGAGGAGTCAATAGTTTGCCAAATCTTCCAATCATTGTGAAAAATGCTGCTAACATCTTGTCAAAACACTCACTGTCCCAACCAAATTATATAATTATTGATGAAGCAGTAGAAATAGAATTGATGGATATTGGTAAATTATATAACGATAAGAAAACGAGTGATTTGAAAATTCAAATTGATGAAGATAATTACTTGTATTGCCACAAAACAATTTTAAGCTCTTCAAGTACATTATTTAATGCCATGTTTGACAGTGGATCAACATTTACCGATCTCAGTAATGATATTTTTATTCCAGATTCTTCAGATGATTTTGAATTTTTGGAAATTATCATCAAGACATGTTATGAAACTCCAGTTCAAGATGTTAAATACGAAAAGTTGCTTCGTCTTCTTGATATGGCCATGAAACATGAAATGGAATATTTAGTTAAATATTGTAAGAATGAATTATCAATTTCCATTGATAATTATATAGATATTGTTTCAGCTTGTGAAAATTATATTGGTTTGCAATGTTTTGAGGGTTTTTATAATGAATTGATTACATTTGGAATTAAGCACAGAAGACAACTCTTTCCTGATTGTGAGACAATTTTAAAATTACCTCCAAAACTTTTGCCATTGTTTTTTTTAAAGTTTGCCCAAGAATTTTTATAAATGTACGATGGTCAATTATTTTAGTCCAAGGCTTTTAGGCACCATAAATAGTAGTATCAATAAAAGCATTTGTATTTAGTATGAACAACCCTATGACAACATTGAGTAATGAAATGATGACCTCTAAATAAAAGAATGACAAGTCTAAATTGATTGTGTTTAATGGATTTCACTTCCATCAGGTAATTCACATTTAATTATTGAGCCATCCAAAAGAGTAAGAGTAGTTCCTGAAACACTTGGTTGACCATTAATAACTTTCAATTCCTTAACAATCTTTTCCCATTGATTTGGAGAACATCTATCTTCAATACTTTGTACATATGGTTCAATAATATTAACATCTGTTGACAAAACAACTCTGTCACCAACTTGAGCATTTGGTGATGGATCCAAAATTTTAACATTATTTTCATCACCAACTGCTGTTCCAGCAAGAATCATTGCTTCACTCAAAACACCAGCAAGTTTCTTAGGCTTTAAATTAACGATGGAAATTAATTTTCTATTTAACAATTCCGTTTCAGTGTAGAATTTACGAAGACCTGCAACGAGTCCCTTCTTTTCATCACCTCCAATATTTAAAGTAATCTTGTAGAGTTTTTCAGATTCTGGATGTTTTTCGATGGATTCTACTTGAGCAACAACAAGGAAAGTTTGATGGAATGGATGAGTTGGTTTAGCAGCAGCCTTCTTTGGTGGTTGTTGTTGTTTAGGCTTTTGTTCCTTCTTTTGTTGAACCTTCTTTTCGGAAGATTTTGATGATGTAATTGGTTGATTATTTTGCAATTTATTGGCCAAATCATCTATCATTGCCAATGACTTGGTGAAGAGAGGAGTGATTGGAATTTCATTCATAGCAGACATTTTTTTTTAAATTTATAATTTTAAATTATAAATTCATAATTAGTTTTAGCTATGTTTTTAGATTTGAAAATCTCCTCATGAACAGAGAGACTTTCAAGATTTTTCAAATCTAAAAACCAATAAATACGAATACCGTACCACTTTCTCAACTTTATCACATTTCTAACATCTCAGCTTAGTTCATGGAGGTTTTGATGTAGCATTGTTGTAAGAGGACCTAACAAAACAATGTCAAATAAAGTCGTTTTGAAGATATAAAGAATTGGGATTCTCATCAAAACAGAAGCAATCTTTAAGCCTTAATCATTGTGGATTGATACCTGAATATGTGATAAATATGAGTATGTTAAAAATCTCTACTCAAAATTTGTGAGGCTATTGTGCTTTCAATTTTTTCTAATTTGTGGTCAATATATGACTTAATCGGTTTGTCTTTCCATGCAATTTCTTTCCAATTTGATAATATTTTGTAACCCAAACTTTGCATTTCATTCTTGTTAATTGTAATGATACGTAAATTGATTGGATGATATTTTCTTAATAACTCAATCTCTTCGTAGTTTTTGAATCCACAATCCAATTCAACCAGTTGTTTAAAGTTGGAGCTCAGATTCTCGAAAAATTCTTGTGGATATGCATGATCATATCTAATTCCCAAATATTTCAACATTGCAAACACATTTGATTTGGTCAAATTAATCAGATCAGTTTCATTGTCTATGATTACACGTAATATCTTTAAATTATTCAAATCTTCAATTTGAGCCAAGTTACAAATAAATGAGCTTCTACATCCACAAATCAATAATGATTTCAAATGCTTGAACTTCTGTTTTTGAAAAATACCATAATCTAAACAAGCAGTTTCAAAAAAATGTAGAGATAAATGTTTCAAATTTTTCAAGTTTTTGCATTTTCCCAGATTTGCTGTTACAGACTCATTTGAATAACTCTCATATTTAAAAATTTCTAAATTACTGAAAGTATTATTGGTGGAGAAAAATTTCCAATCATCATTGAATACATCAATCTTCAGAGCTTTCAAATTTGAAAAATTATATTTCCATAATTTACCAGTAAAATTTGAATATCCATTGCTTACGTTGAGATATTTCAAATTTAAAATAGATTTAGTGTCAGGTTCAATTAAACCAATAACAGAAGGTGCTTCATCAATATCGACTTTAAGTATTTCCAATTTCTTCGATGTGTTTAAAATAGAAATTACTTGATTTTCATTCAGTCCTTCCAATTCTAGACTGCATAGAAGTGGTAAGTTTAAGATTGGAGTAATATCGACTTTCCTCAACTCTTTCAACGACAGTATTTGTAAAGTGTATGTATAATTATTGATAACATTATCCATATCAATTGCGTATGGCTCCCACATTTCAAGTTTTTTTAAATTAAATAGATTTCGATCTCTCAAAACAAAATGATTGTGAGACACGTTAATAACTATTGATTCTATAGATGGTTTCTTGAACTTGAAATCAACAGTGTTATCACCTGGTCCATCATTTTTAAAATCCATTCTCTCAATAAAAAGATGCTTAATGTTTACACATTTAGTTATAAATTGATTTTGTTCTTTGTGCTCAAAGTCACTAAAAAAAGTCAGAGACTCAACATTTGGCAATTGATATGGAGGGAATATCTTTCTCTCAAACTCTATTATCAAATGTTTTGATTTTTCAAGAATAATTCTTTGGAATTGTTTAGAAACACCCAAATATTTGAAAAGTTCAAGGTCTCTGTGAAGATATTCTAATATTTTACCAATAACATCATCACAAATTTCTGTCTTTCTAATTGTTTTCTGCACTTTACTATCGGAAACAATCTGAAGACAAGATTCTTCTAGCTTACGTTTCTTAATGTTGGCTTCATCCATGAATGAATTTAATTTGCAAAGTTCAATTTGTAACTTTAATTCCTCTTGTCTTTGCTTGGATTTTTCTTGTTGTAATTTCAAAGACGATGAGAGTCCAAGCTGAGTACACTCTCTGATGAAATTGCCCTCATCATCACTAATAACATTGTTGGACATTTTTTTGAATTATTTAGCCTATTTGGCAAAAGATTTTGTGGCATTTTGGCGCCAAAAGAAACCATGCTATTACAACAATGTTAACAAAAATTCAAGTTTCTAAATCAAATATATACTGTAGCATTGTTTATGATTGCAAAAATTGATTGTTAACTTTTAAATACATATTCAAGCTCAGTACGAAACCAAAAGATACGAATATGGTTGGTTAGATGTGGGAAGAGGGCATGTTGTTTCCTTCTTCTCCTAATGAATGAATGAAACGATACATTAAAGTCTACTCACTCCCTATAGAGTGATTCTGCATTTCGGCACTCGTCTCACAATTAACCAGTATTATATACGAAATACCAATTAAGGAAAGTCGTTCATCTCTATTAAATCTTCGGCCTTTCTTGATAGCATTCCAAACACATAAAAAATGAAACAACTTGAAATCTCACTCTTCATCATCACGATAACAATTATCATCTTTCTAGTCAGAGTTATGGACTCTCTCACAATCTCAAAAAATCTAGTTGATGTTATTGATGCAGCATCATCGAGATATATTGCCTCAAAAGAATGGAGACAAACTTTGGATTCTTTTGGAATTTACTTACAAACTCCAGGTTGTACAAGTCTCCCTCAGTATCCATCAAAATTTGAATTGTCAAGAAATTATTTAACACTTTGTTATGATAATGAAGCATTTGATATTTGGCCAGCTATTTATCGAAAGAGTGGGGAGTTATTGGTTAATGAAATTAAACAGCAATATAAATTGGATAACTTGACTGCTGTATTCAAGACACTTGACACTACTGCAGGATATTTCAGTGTTATGAAGAATGCAGTTGATACTGGAATTTGTGATGTTTCTTTAAGTGCTACGGCCATCAGTGGAGATAGACCTTCCCAAGTTCATTTTCAATGTAAGTTTAGAATATTTTGCAAACTATTCTAATGTTTCTAAGGTCCTAATGGTGTTAGTTATTCCGGAGTTTTAAGAAGCGAACTTCAAAATGATACCGTCTCAATCAAAAGTGTAACTGATCTGAATAATGAAAATATAATAGTTGTAGTTTCGGATGGTTCAGTCTTTCAAAGCTATGCTCAACAACAACTACCAAAGGCAACAATCAAATCCATTCCAGGTTATGATGACGCATGGAATATGATTCTTAATAAGACAGCTCATGCATTTGTTGCTGATGCTTTGGACCTCTATGTTTGGGTTAGATATCACAAATCTTCATGTGCAACATGTAAAGTAATTCTATTCGGTGATGAGTTGAGGTTTGGAACATTTATCACTAATCAGTTCCAATCTAGTTCAGTATCCACGTGGAGGGTTGAGAATGTGTTTTGGAGCTTGCTTCTTATTGTCTTTATGATGTTCATCAATTAAAGTGACAAAGATTATTAGCTGTACCGAATAAACATTTTTAATTAATGTAGAAACTTCTCAATAATTAAATTGAGAAAACTTCTCTGTTGAATCCTTTGGAGGCTTTGTAATCTTGTTGAAGAGATTTGGATTGTAGAACATTGGTTTTCAAATAGACCAGATTGTGTAGATCGTACAAAGCTCCCAGGTCCTCAAGCTCTTCATGAGTTGACAATCTTAGTGTGACTAAATTATCCAAACTAACTAAAAATCCCAAAGAATCTTCATAAATGTAAAGGCCATACAAATTTAGCATGAGTAATTTGTTTTTGAATTTACATTGGTTGCTTAGTATGTACAAGAATTCGGTACAACCATCCCTTTGCTCCAACTTTTTACAATCCATCACACTCAAGTCAGAAATATTCTCCAAAGTAGCAAGTTTGGCAAACTGTTGTGGAAGAATATTGATACCTGATAGGTACAATACTTCAAGGCTTTTGCAGGACCTTAATAGTGGAATACTTGCTCCATCTACCTTCTTGCAATAACTAATAGCAAAGTGAGTCAAGTGTCTAAAACAGTGTTTGGCAATATTTTCAACAGTTTTTGAGGAAATTCTATCACAATGCGAAAAATCTATCCACTCCAAATTGGTCATTGCAGAGATAGCCTCTGAAATATTTTCATCATCTATTCCTTTCAAATTACAACTTAAATCCAATATTTTCAAATTTTTGCAAATATTTGCAAATGCTTCCTTAAATCCTTCTTGCTCCACTTGATCAGACCTTTGGTTAATAAAACTAGCAGTCAAATATAGTTTTTCTACCTTTGGCAAGTCAGCAGAGAATAAATGACACCATCCATTGGCATAAGTGATGTGCTTCATCTGCCTTAAACCTAGCTCGGTAATGATATTGAAGGATGGAAGAATATGCTCGAAGGTAAGATCAGTTATATGTACACAGTTGTTGATATGTAAAATTTTAAGAGTACTCTTTGAAGACAATAGACCACTAACAGCTTCATCATCAAGGAAAGTGCTCGAAATATTCACCTCGCATAGGCAATTCAAACTTTCAAAAAATTTCTTCATAGAATTATCATCCAGTAGCTTGCAGTGAGATAGATTAAGCACACTGAGATTATTGAAGGCAAATGAATTTTTAACATTGTTCTGCAGAGAGTGAATATTGGTATTTGAAGCATTCCAATAGTTAAGCTTTGGAAAATTTGCAAAATGTTCTGGGTTATCACCCATATATGTTCCAGAAATTGAAATTCCGGTTATTCCATCTCCGAGATAATAGCTCAACCCATCCTCTGTCATTCTTTCATTGCCATCAATGGCTATGAATGAAAGAAACTTTAAATCTTTCAAGAATTTTAGGCAATGGTTCGTCAATTGCTTATTCTCGGATAAATTTAAATATTCCAAGTTGATTAGACTTTGTAAATTTCTGACACCAGCATCAGATATTTTCGTCTTTTTCAAATTGAGTTTTTTAAGGTTTCTTCTCAATTGTTTGACACTGGAACTTTCTTGAACGGTTCCCTCAGATTTGTGAACTTTTCCGCAAATATGTTCCAAGCATTTGTTAGTAAAGTTACTACATCCCTCAAATGACAAAGCTGTAAGATTTGGGAATAGTTGAGGAATCAACTTGAATGAATCATGCGTAATTTCATGAATATTTGACATATTCAATGACTTGAGTGTTCGGGAAAGAGTATAAGGTGTGGTGACTTGAATGGAACCATCTTTTCTCTTTTTAGAAGATGAGCCACTTCCACCAGAACCACTAGAAGTTGTACTCTTTGGTCCACTCTTCTTTTTCTTATCGTTATCCTTATCTGAACCATTACTATCAGCAGAAGGTACTCTCTTGTGAGGCGTGGAGACAGAACTAGTCCCTACTATCTTTTTCTTTTTCTTTTTAGGAGGTTTTCTGTTTGGATTTGAATCAAAAGAAAAAGTAACACTCTTCTTTTGTGTTTCTTCAGAATCACTTTCAGATTCAGATTCAGACTCTTCAGGAAGTGTAGGAGAACCCCTTTCATTATTCGTCTCATTTTCTGGGCATGGTATAATATGTTTCTTTCCTTTCACATAATATAAACTTTGATTAGTGATTAAACAATGTGATAAATTTAAAGTTTCCAAAGGTATTTCTCTCAATAACATCATCCAATCATCATGAACACGTCCATTCAAAGATAAATTCAAATTCGATAACCCAGAATATCTCAACTTGATTAAAAGTGGAAGACTAATTTGTTTAGAGGTACACAATCCATTCACAATTAATTGAGAAACAGCTTGTGGAAATGGATAAACCTCTTCCGATGCTTGTTGACTCATCACAAATGTTGCTGGCAAATAATTTGTAATATTTCCACCTCCACCACCAACTTTTCCAATTGAAGAACTTCTTGCTCTTTGTTTTAATAAATGCTTATAGGAAGCTGCAGAAGAACCATTAGTTTGTGGTGGTGCTTGTTGATTGCCAAGTTTAGCTTCAACCTTTTCAAGAAATTCATAATAATTATTATCGACCACACTCGAAGGAGGCTTTGAAAAGTTTTCGATATTCTTCATCAAGTATTCAATACAAAGTGATTCGAGAGTATTGTCAACATTCTGTTCTTCTGTTTCATTAGCAGGAGATACTGGTGTTTTTTCTCCCTTTGTTGTAGAACAATGATTATCTAAAGTTGATGTTTCCACTTTAATTTCATCCTCTTCTTTTCCTACTATATAATTATTACTACAATTACTCTCTAATATCCTATCATCACTACCATTGTCTGTACTACTACTTCCGATTATTATTTGTTGTTCTTCATGTTGGTGATGATTGTGGGTTCTATCCAACAATAGACTTGTAGTTAAACAAGATAAATTTGTGGTTGCTTTTTTGCCTTGCAAATGATTACTATTAGTAATTATTCCATGATGAGAAGAGGCAACAATGGATGTTGGTAATGATGACATAAAAACACTCCTCTTGTTCTCAATGACGATGATATGGTGTGTATTAGGCTGTGATGTTGGTTGGGACTATTTTTATGTGGGAAAGTTGTTTATTCATTTCAATTTCGATATGAACACAAAGACTTTACAATGTCATCTCCATTAATTTATAATTACTTGTCACTCCTTTTGTAGATTTTGATGATTATCTTCTTATGATGAATCTACTAATCTTAAAGATGAAGAGGTAATGATCGTGTTTTGTGAGCAAAAAAGAAAAAATGTAAAATTAAGGCGGGAAAAATTTACCAAGTCAACTAAGGCTAAGTTATTTAAAAAATGTCTCAACAATCACCACTAGAACAATATTTTTCTTCTCAAACTCAAGGATCATTCAATTCTCAGGCTACAAATTTGTTAGCATTAAGACCCTCTCAAAGTAATAATACATTGTACAGTAATAGGCTATTATCTTCATCACCTAGTAACGGAAGGTTAGTTTACATTAGAATAATATTATTCATCTATTTGATACATTAATCTGATAGTAAGAGGAATGTTGCTCAATTAATGGATATTTTCAGTGGAGGGAAACAAAAGCAATCATCCCAATCCGGATCACAAAAAGATGTACTTTCTCCATCATCATTCTTCATCTCAATGACGAATCCTTCAGGTTCTTCTAATAACATTCCCTTCGCTCCGATACCTCCTTCCACTGACTCAAACAAACAATCATCACAAAATGCCACTGGTGTTCCTCATCAAAATAATCTTGATAACTTCTTGATAAAGTCCAAATCAAGCCTTTCTCTTTCGTCAACAATTGACAAGGAATGGTTTACACTCAAATTTCAAAACTTAGAAGAAAAAGTGGCATCAGTCCAACAAAAGCAGAACGAAATGCAAGAAGAGCTTTCTAGTGTGATGATAAATTTGATGAAAAAGATGGACAGTATAGAATCCGTATTGGAAAAACATCAATTCATGATAGAGGAACAATATTCAATGTTAAGTGATAAGAGTAAGTACATTAGAATAATATCATTTTCAATATTATCATCAATAGTTGTGGAGATGACTCATGACATTTCTTCGAATTTTGCAGATGTCAAGAAAGCTAGCTTTGAATCATCTCAATCCATAACAAAATGTGTACAAGATTGCGAGCATAAAATTGATGAAATTAAGCTTCACTTAGATACTTTAGAGAGAAAACAAGTATATGAGCCAGAATTAATTGAAAAATTAGAGATACGGCCACATGTTAAAATTCCAAAAATTGAAAAACCATCCAAAACCAAATCAACCTCACAAAAATTCCTTCAAAATATTCTAGATGACAAGGCATCACAACTGGTAAAACCAAGAAAACAAGAACCAATCATGTTAGATGATTCATGGTTTTGTGATGAGCTGTAATGAATTGTGTCATAATAAATCAACATATGCCTGCTGTTCAAATCCGACATGTGTTGCAAGTTAGAAAAAAAATACACCGAACATCAAGGAGTTCATATTTATCGATTCCCTTGGTTGATTTTTACTCTCAATATTATTTTGCCTTTACATTAGTCGTTGTGAAGCAGATTGTTGAGAATTAAATCTTATCGCTTATTAGTGTGTTTTTAATATTAAAATCGTTCAATCTTCCGAATCAAATTTTGTTGGTAAATTGTGCAAGACTTTAAAAAGCCTTGCTGAACACCAAAACATTTAATATCGTCTATTAATTATCTTTTCAATAGATTTTATATATCTATTTAAATCTCCCTAAACAAACAACTTTAATTTATTCTTCCCCGAAAATGTCAAGTAAGTTGTTTTAATGTCATTGGCAAGTTGGTCTTATTTCTTGGATCATTAATTATTATGATAGGAAGACAACGTCCACAAACCAGAACTACCAATCCAATCGCAGCTGCAGGTCTAAACATGGAAGATGTGCCAGAATTTCTCGAAGGGTGCACATTCTTTGTGGATCCACTTACACATGAGGAAGCTGAGGCCGAACTCTACAGGGAAATTATCAAAAAACTTGGTGGACAAGTTGTGACCATGTATAAGAGTAATATTACACACTTGATGGCAAGTGTTCAGAGAGGAGAAAATTTCTATAGAGTAAGTAGTTGAGATTGTGACACGTTTAGTGGCTTATTTTCAAAGGCACTCGAAGAAAAGAAAACGATTGTAACTAGTTTTTGGCTCGATGATTGTATGCTTGTTCATGGTGTTCAACCTCTAGTAATTACTGAGAAATTTGGAAGGAAAATTCAAAATCCACTCCACTATCCCGTGAAAGATTATCCAATTACAGATATGGAAGGATTTGTAAGTATAATTCAATAGCACTAATATTTTTTACATTCCTTTTTCAGAACTTTACCTTATCTGGTTTTCCAAAGAAAGAAAAAACAAGATTGCAATATTTAATAGCAGCAATGGGAAGCAAATATTCCAGTAATATGACACAGGAAAATACTCATTTACTTTACAAAGTTGCAGCTGGTGCCAAATATGATACATCGATCAAATGGGGAATTAAGCGTGTAGATAAGAATTGGTTATATGATTGTGCCAGAGATTGGAAATTAGCTCCATACCCATTCGTTGAGGAAAATAATTCAAAGAAATCTTCAGATCCAGAAGGCTCGAACTCATTAGATTCTTCATCGAAAAAGAGAAAATTAGAGGATAATGATGGATCTCTAGAGTCTATAATTGCATCCAACACCAAAAAGAATATTTTTGTGAATTTGGATTCATCTGATCAATTGAAAACATATTGTGATAGAGTTGTAATTGGAAAAAATAATTCAAAAGTTTTACTGGTTGAAAATAATCCAACTGCACAAAACGAAGATGAAAAGATTGTAGACATGGACTCATTCTTGAACGGAAGACAAAATACTTTAGAATTTGTGGAAAAGAACAAGCACTTGATAACAATCATTGACTCTGACAAATTGAATAATTTAACCACTGAAAAATCTTCCATAGTGTTGGGGCCTATTGAATTATCAACTCAAAATCAATCCCTCAATGAAAAATATCAACCAAAGAAAACAGGATTATTATATGATGCTAGAATGTGTCTTCATGATGGTCCAATACCAGAAACACCAGTTCGTATTAGTCATATTTGGAATATGATTCAAGAACACAACTTGTTGGATGAATGTGAAATTATGAAGTCAAGAGAAGTGACACAACAAGAACTTGCTCTGGTCCATACAGAAAAATATATTGATGATTTCTTTGAATTTAAAGGACAATTCAATCCTACAACTTCAAACCATAATTTATTGAGAGGTATCGTGCAAGATAACGAGCATGATATCCAAATTAATCAATTCAGTCTTAAAGCAGCAAGATTAGCAGCAGGTGGTGTAATTAAACTAACTGAGAAGGTATTGAATGGAGAATTGGAAAACGGAATGGCTATTGTACGTCCACCTGGTCACCATGCTCAAACAGAAGATCCAATGGGATTCTGTTTCTTTAACAATGCTGCTGTAGCAGCTCGTGTAGCTCAACAATTCAAATCTGTTGGTAGAGTAGCCATCATTGACTTTGACATTCACCACGGTAATGGTACACAGGAAATTTTTGAGGATGATCCATCTATTCTCTATGTTTCCATTCACAGATTCGAGCAAAATTATTTCCCTGGAACTGGTTCATTAGAAGAAGTTGGTATCGGAAAGGGTGAAGGTTACACATTGAACATACCTCTCCCTCCAAAAGACTATAAGATACCATCCACTGCTACCTTTGGTGATTCTGATTATATTGCCATTTTCAGACAATTGATTATTCCTGTTTGTACAGAGTTTGCACCTGACTTGGTCATTGTGTCAGCTGGTTTTGATGCTGCCAAGGGTGATATTTTGGGAAGAAGAATGTCCTTAACACCAAGTGGATATGAACATATTATTGGTATGTTAAAACAATTGGCAGGTGGTAAAATTGTTTTAGCTCTCGAAGGTGGATATAAGACAGATGTAACAGCATCATGTGCAACTGCTTCTCTGAGAAGTTTATTGAACTTGCCTCCATCTCCAATTTCTATCAAACCACCATCAAAGGCCACCAATGTTGCTATCAGACAAGTAATTATTCAACATGCCCAATATTGGAAATGTTTGAAATCATTCGCTGAAGTTTTCTTGAATGGAGATGAAACTCCTTATGGCCCTTTGAAGTCTATTCGTAAGCATCCAAGATATGTAACTGTTGCCTCAAATACTGCCTCAAAACCACCAAGTGATGAATCAACTCCAATGATTGAATCGAATGAGAGTGAACAAGAAATTGTTGTTGAACAAAAGACCTCTATGGACAATATATTTGTAGTTGACTATACAGGAAAGGGAGATTTCAGCTCCATTACAGAAGCCCTCAACCATATTGTCAATATGAAACAAACACCAGTTCCAATATCAAACTCTGACAATTCCAATTCATTCAAACAAAAGATTACCATTCAAGTGCGAATGGGTCTTTATAGTAATGAAAAAATTAGAATTAATACCAAAATGAACCATAAGCTGATACATATCATTGGAGAAGAATCGGAAAAACAAGCTCACATACTTTATCCAATCATTACACTTGGAGAAGCTGGTAGTATCATGTTAGAGGCTGGCTCTAACATTATATTCGAGAATATTTTCTTCAAGGCAACAAAGGAAGCAAAAAGTGCTGATGTTGTTGTTACACCTCAACAAAATGGAGGAAATCCAAAATCACAAGGCTTACATATCAGACTTGATGATGGAGCTGAATGTGAAATTAGGAATTGTAAATTCAGCCGATTTTCCACAATAGCAACCAGAAATTCCAGTCTCAAAATTGTCAATTCTGAATTCAGAGAATCTGAAGGTATTGCTTGTGAAATTAGATCTTCTCAAGCTTTTATTCATAACAGCAAATTTGTTATGAACGAAAATGCTATTGTTGCTGAAAAATCTCAACTCAAGATTACTAACAATCTCATCACTGGTTCAAAGAAGAAATCTCTGCTAATGATTCAATCTACAGGAACAGTTCAAGAAAATGAAATTATCAGAAATGAAAGTTCAGGTATTCAACTCTTCAAGGAATGTAAAGATGTGAAAATAACCAAGAATGTTATTATGGGCCAAAAAGCAGCAGGTATTGTTGTGAATGCCCAATGTAAAGCCACTCTCATGCATAATCAAATATTTGATAATACCATGGCTGGTATCGAAGTATCAAATGAATGTAATATAGATATCATTGAGAATGAAATTTACAAGGGAGGTATTTGTGGTATTTTGATTGCTACCAAGAGTAGAGGAACTGTTGAAAAGAATAGAATTTATGAAAACGCCTATGCTGGTCTTGAACTCAGAAACTCTAATCCAACCATTAGAAACAATCAAATATACTCCAATCGTCAGAGTGGTGTTTCAATTAAGGGAAAGGATATTGATAATACTCTCATTTTCCAAGGAAATGAAATTCTTTCCAATGTCTATTCTGGTATTGAAATAAGACAAGGTGCAACACCTTCAATTGTAGGCAATAGAATATTTGGATGTGCTAAACAGGGCATAATTGTTGTTGAACAATCAAATCCAATCATTGAAAAGAATGAAATAACCGAGAATAGTGATGGTATTATTGTTCAAAAAGCATATGCAACCATCAAGGAAAATAAGATTATTAACAATTCTAATATGGGAGTCAAAGTTAGACAATTTGAAGCTGATATTATTGATAATGAAATATCTGCCAATGGTAGTTTTGCTATTTATGGTGACGAATGTGATAGATTGACCATTTCAAAGAACAAAATATCAGCACACAAATCTGTTGATGATCCAATCAAGATTGAAACGAATTGTAAAAATTCAACCCCTTCCAATGATAATCTCATTCTAAATTAATTTAATACTACTAAATATCTTATTGATTTTATTTAAAGTTAATGTTGTAATTGACAGAGTTGAAGAATATTTTGATATGTGGAAACTGAAGCGATTGCTTTCTCTTGAATTAAATTCAAATATAATCCTTTAGGTACAAATACTTTCTCATTTCTCTCACTGATGAAAGATTCCATCAATACTTGATTGGATTGTTTAAATTTGTTAATTTTCAAATACTTGACAATTAAATAATAAATGATTGGAATTGGAAATGTAACAAGAATTGGAATGTTAAAAAGGAAGGAACATGCAAACAAATAACAATACAATGGTTTGATAATTAACCTTTCTTCCATTTCAATTTCACTCAAATAAATTCTATTCATTTCTTCAATTGTTTCACCCCAGTCAATTTGTGAAAGACCAAATCTTTCTGAAATACATTGTGGAAGTTCTTGATTAAATAAACGAGTGACTGTATCATTAGTAGCAACAATTTCATGAATTTTCATATTTGGAGTTCCATTATCAATGAATGAAGCATTTGACACAATATTCAAAGTCCAACTTCCACCCAAATCAAACTTTCCAATTCCTCCATTTGGATTCAAAACCAACAATAAACCTTTTGGTTTGAAATTGAGTTCATTTTCTTGTTCAATAATATTTTCCATATTCTTCTTCAATTTTCTATTTCTCTCATAATTGAAAAACAACATGAAAATGCAACCAATAAAAGTTGGCAATGCAGAACCAATCAAACTGAATAACGATGCAGCCAACATTGAGAACATGTAGAATGGAAGAAACCATGCACTGTGTCTGTTCAATAAATTGTCCAACAATGGAAGAGTTTCAGTTTCGAATTGTTGTGGTAATTGCCAACTAACTGAGTTAGAATGATAATCAACTCTTGAAGATGTGAATGTACTTATTCCCTTCACATGCTTGTACTCCCTCAACAGTAGAGAAGGAGTAAACACTGATTGGTTTGTAACAACATCAAATGATGCTTGATAAACAAGTGGTTGTCTTTCTAACATTTTTTTGTGTGATTTTCAATTTTGCAATATCTTCTTAATGCTTCCTTTTGTAGCTCTTCAAAAATCAAACCTTCCAATAAATTTCTGTTGTACACTGAACTGTTACTATAAAGGAAATGCAATATGGTAAGCGTTACCAGCACAGGTTAATTATTCATGTAATCATTTCTACTCAAAATTATTCTCACCGAGTATGCACTAATACAGCCCAACTCCGATTAAAGGACGTACCATCGAAGTTTATTTGTAACTTTACAATGCATATGAACGTAGGATTACCAGAGTGGAGTAATTCAAAGTTTTCTTCTTCTTAAACTTGAGAAGGTGCAATGCAAACAATATATAGGAATTAAACAAATAGAAAAAAGAACAAAAATGTCTCAAGTTACTCCACTCGATCAATCCATCACTTTGAATAATGGTACCAAGATGCCAATCTTTGGTTTAGGTAAGCTTGATTTTAATTTATTAAATTCATTATTTTAATATGAATATATATTGTGTGATGATGATTAATATTATTGTGATGATAATGATCAATTATTAATATAATATTCTATTCAACAATACATATATACATATTTACATAAATAATATATTGATAAAAAGGTACTTGGTTATCTGCTCCAGGAGAAGTTTCACGTGCTGTTGAATTTGCTCTCGAACAAGGCTATCGTCATATTGATTGTGCAGCCATCTATAGAAACGAACAGGAAATTGGTGAAACCTTTGATAGACTCTTTAATACTGAAAAGAAGTTTAATCGTTCCGATGTTTATGTTGTTTCCAAGCTTTGGAATACTTTCCACAAGAAGGAACATGTTAGAAAGGCTTGTCTTCAAACCTTGAGTGATTTAAAGTTAGATTATTTGGACATGTACTTGATTCACTGGCCTTTCAATTTCAAATATGTTGGTGATGATATTAAGAAGGATGAAAATGTTTTCCCAAAGGATGAAAATGGAAAGATTGCTATGGAAGCTGTTCCACTCAGAGAAACATGGGAAGAAATGGAAAAACTTGTTGATGATGGTTTGGTCAAGTCAATTGGTATTTCAAATTTCCCAATTGCTCTTGTTTATGATTTGTTGACTTATGCCAGAATTAAGCCAGCTGCTAATCAAGTTGAATGTCACCCATACCTTAATCAACGTAAATTGAAGCAAGCTCTTGGTGATATTGCTTTGGTTGCTTATTCTCCACTTGGTCACTTTAATGAAAGTTCACCTGTTAACAATCAAACTGTCAAGTCTTTGGCTGAAAAGTTAGGAAAGACTCCTGCTCAAATCTTGTTGAAGTGGTCTACTCAAAGAGGATGTATTGTTATTCCAAAGTCAACTAAGGAAGAAAGAATTATTGAAAATAGCAAGATCTTTGATTTTGAATTGTCAAGTGAAGATATGGAATCTCTTGAAGGTTTGGAAAAGAACAATCTCACTAGAACTTGTGATCCAATCAATTTCTGGAGTCTTCCATTGTTCGATTAAAGTTTTTTTTCTATTTTCAACACTTTACAATTTTAATCTAGATTTGAAATATCAAATCCAGTTTAGTTTCAAGAATTTAAAAATCCAATTAAATTGAAAAATATGAATCTTCTCAGTTACAATCTGTGGCTCACTTCCCTCTCCCTACGAGTTCCACCCCACAAGAAGGAACGAATTGTTGGTTTTATTGAAAATTTACAAAATGAAGGAAAAGATTTAGATGTGATTGCACTTCAGGAAATGTTTGAATTTGGTGGATTTGGTTTATTCAATGGATTTTCATTCAATTCCGAACTTAAAACACTCTTGATCAGTGAGGCAAATAATTTAGGCTACCAGTGCATTCAATCTCAACCTCCCAAATTATTTATGCAAGATTCTGGATTACTTCTATTAACGAGACATGAAATTCTAGAGAGTGAAAATTACATTTTCCAATATGCAAGTTATACAGAGTATATTGTTGCAAAGGGAATTCTCTATGCACTTATTAAGAAGAAGAAGAATGAAGAAGGTGATGCTGATTATTTGATGATATTTTCAGTTCATATGGATGCTCATAAGGATAGGTCAAGGAGAGAACAAATTAAGGAATTGGTTCAATTTGTGAATGACAAGATTGACAATTTCAGAAATCATTACCAGATTGATTTTGAAAATGTTAGAGTTGTAATTTGTGGAGATTACAATATTGATTCATTGCATTCGAATGATAGTTATGCCTACTTGAAAAATAGTATGAGTTCATTGGGGCTGAAAAATGTTTTTGGCGATGATACAAGTAGACACCCAGTGACCTATCCAATTCCAACATTTAATAATTGGTGTTTAGATCATGTTTTTATTTCGAATAATTGCAAACATTCATTCGACATAATCAGATGGAAGAATGAGGATGGAATTGAAGTTTCAGATCATTATGGAGTACGTACCACCATTCATTTCGAATAAATACCAACAATTAAATTGTAAAGGTAATCTGCTCTGTGAACTTTGAAAAAAATGTTGGAACGTTTAAATACTGATGAGCTTGGAGTGGTTTTCAGTTTTTTAGATTGTCATTTCCTGCAAGATACCATTCGTTTAATTTCCACATCATTTAATTCGCTAATTATTAGTCATGATGAATTTCAAAAGGAATTTGTTAAAAGTAAAATTCAGAGTATGAAATCGGAAATTTCCAGATATCGATATTATGTTATATATGGTCCGCATAATAGACATAGAATGGATCAATTGTATGGTCCGTATCTATCTCTGGAAAAGGATTATCGAAAATCATTTTTGGAATTAAAAGAAAAATTTCAGAAGGAAATTGAGCAAAGTAAAAAGGAAAGAATTAAAATAGCCAATATTCGTTCTTATGGAAAAGATGAGAAAGAACTTTATCAGAATTTCAAAGAAATTAAATTGACTATTAAGGAGCAACATTTGCAACCTTTAAGAGGATTTGATGTGGAAAAAAAAGGAAAGTCAATTAATAAAAAAGTGGTAAGTCGATGAATTGAATTTACTGATTTCAGTAAGATAATTAATGGTGATGGAGCTGTTGGAAAAACTTCATTAATTTATTATTTGGGTTGGGGATATGTACCCGAATATTTACATGGTCCATGTGATGTTGCTTGTATTTCATACTATGGTGATTCGGAAGAGATTTCAAAGTTTGATTTATGGGATACTGCAGGTCAGGAAGAGTAAGTACTTATTGAATTCACAATCTGATATCTTATTCCAATTCAAGTTATGATAAATTAAGACCGCTGAGCTATCCAGAAACTGATCTATTTTGTCTTTGCTTTAGTATAGTTTCTACAAGTAGTTTTGAAAATATTCAGTACAAGTGGATTAAAGAAATTAGATTTCACAAACCAGATACTCCAATCATATTAATGGGATGTAAGATTGATTTGAGAAAGAATACAAAAATTCTCAAAGAATTGAAATTTCAACAATTTACAGCACCAATTAGTTTCAGTGAGGGTGAATTGATGGCTCGTTCTACAGGTTGTTGTACCTATGTGGAAAGCTCAGTAATTGCTGATGTTGAGAAGGGTAATACAAAGGACTTGAGCGAGGTTTTTGCCAAAACTCTTGTGTATTATCATCACCAAAGGGAATTATTCTCAAAGAAAAAGAAATGTCAACTAATGTGATTCACGATTCAATAAACGTCCATAATCTTCCAATTGTTTTACAAATGCTCCATTAGGACAAATCTGTGAACGCTTCTCCTTTACCATTTGAGTTGCTTCATCTAAAGAGAGTTTGAATTTCTTCATTACATAAGCAATTACCATTGAGGCAGAACGACTTACTCCTGCCTTGCAATGCACAAGAATGGTTCCTTGTGAATCAATGGCCTCTTCTATAAATTTTACACAAGCATCTATGTGCGGAAGTAAATCCTCGCCTAACGTATCAGAAAGTTCAACTTTCTTATATTTGAAATCGAAAGGATATGGAGCTATTAAACCCTCAGCAACATTCAATACGTGAGTAATGCCCAGTAATTTCATATTGTGTTTACTTTGGGCAGAACCATTTCCTCCCAGATATAATCTCTCAAGAATTAAACTTGGTTCAATGAGCATTCGTTTAATTTTCACAGAACTATGATCCTTCATCCATTGGTTGAATATATCATTCTTGTCTTCTCTTGCTGTTTTCAAATTACTAGTATTGTACTCAAGAGAAAGAATATCTATAGAGGGTAATAATAGAACTAGATCAATTGGAAATTCTGTGAGATTATTATGCGAAAGGTCCAATGATGTAAGCTTGGTCAAGTTGCACATTTCATCATCTACATCTATTGTTGAAATATTATTGAATGAGAGGTCTATCGACTTCAATTCTGTGAGCATTAACAAATTACTAGAAAAATCTCCAATTTCATTTTCTGAAAGATCCAAAAATTCAATGTTAGGCATATTTGATTGGTTAATATCTAAAGGAATTGATGAAAGAAATAATCCACTGAGTGTCAAAGATCTGATACTGGAAAACTTGGATAAGGAAATTCCAATTTTGGGCACTTCTAGATTATTTCTTATAAGACTCAGATTTAATAGGTCTTTGTATCCTTCTTCGTTCTTAAAAACTCGTTTCAATGTTAATTCTTCAATTTTTGGATTAACATTCGATAGTATGTTATAAATATTCTCATCCTTTTTGTAGTATTCAATATTATTGGATAAATTAATTGAAATGATATTTGGAAAATCTTCTATTAAAATTTCCTTGATATTATTGTTGTGTAATATCAACTTCCTGATAGAATTGTTTAAAATTGATTTGAATATTCTAGAAACAGATTCATCTAATTGACAATTGGACAGATTAAGTGATGTTATGGATGGACTGAGTACAAGTTGTTTCATCTTGGAATAATTTAAATGTTTGTTTTTGGAAAGGTCTAGATGTTGTATATTTGGAAGATCAAATAACTCCACAGGGAAGAAATCCTTGCTGTTATCGAATGAAATATCATCTGATATTTTCTTTTTAAATAAATTAAAAATTGAATTGGTTTTGTTGGATAATAATGGAGTTTTCAACTCGAGCCTCTTTCTAATAGTTTCAAGGTCAATAGAGTTCATCTTTACACTTGTAATAGAAGCATCTGAATAGTCAGTCAATATCTTGATGTCTTCGTTTTTATCAGAAGATGATGCGTTACTTCCAAATATTCCCTTTTTCTGTTCCTTCAACATGTTAATAGAAAGAGATTGTAATGGATTTTCACCTAGGTCAATACTATCAACCTTTTTGAACTTTTTAACAATTATGTAGAATGGAAAATGTTGAATTAAATTTTTGGAAATATTTAAACTCTCAAGACAATTCAACAATTTCATTTCCGATTTGTTCTCATTCAACTCTTTCACTAGATTTTCCAAACTCGTAATTAAATTATTTTCCAAATTTAATATTTTTAATGGAATACTCAAACATTCAATAGGAAAATTCTTGATCATGTTATTAGATAAATCCAAGAATGTCAAACTCTTTGCAAATTGGCTAACAAAATACTTTGAGTCACTTGTCAACTTTTCATTAACAATAAAATACTCCAACTGATTTCCACTCAATTCCAAATGTTCCACTCTATCCAAACATTTCTGAAAATTCCTACAACTTGATCCAAACTGCGAAGATGTCAACTTGTTACTCTCGTAAAATGTAGTAATCCCCAAATAGGCAGAATTTTCCTCCAAAATCTTGCTAACATTCACCACAATCTTTCCAACACTCTCCGATGATGAACCAACACCAACAACATTTTTAATTTGTTGTAGTGATGCCTCCAACATGTCTGCAGGTTTAATTTTGCTCATTTTTTTGTTAATTTCTAGGTAATCAAGTGTTCCGAAAAAGAAACTTAATCGCCCCTCAATATATTTTTCAGCCTTACATTGTGCCACTGCCAATGGAAACAAAAATTATCAGCAACAATATAAAGGCTTTTTTTTTCAAGTTGTGAAGGCTGCGTTGTGTGCATCTTCAAAAAACCTGGTAAGGCTTTACTGAAAATTCCAACAATGAAAAAATCAGCGAAGAAAAAAATGAAGAGAAATATGAATAACAACACTAGCTTGTTCTTGGTTGGAACAACTTTGATCATTGTTGTCTTGATGATGATGATTGGTGGCTCGGAATCATTAAAGCCAATCTCTATTCATAAATTAAAAAAGAATTCTTCTGTTAAACAACCTATGGTTTTGCCATCTGGAATTTCTGTTAATACACAACAACGTGCTTTGAATTACATGTCTAATCAATTAACGCCATTTATTCAAAAACAAATCACATCAACTATTGCTATTCCTGATGTTACAACTAGAGTTGGTATGTTGTGAGGAAGTGTTATTTAATGTTGAAATTTATTATTACAGATACACCAATCGGACATTTAACTGCCACCATTTCTCAAATTACTTTGAGTAATTTTGATATCTCTATTCCATCAATTGTTGTTGGTCCAACTGCTCTCCAAATTACTATTAGCAATGCTCAAGCTAGTCTTCATTGTGTAAGTTTTTATTGACATTAATTAATTAATAATATTTTGATCAGAATTGGCATTACAGAGGTTAGTATTATTAGTTTGGATGAATATTAATTTTACAAACAATATTAGAGGATTCATGGCCACATATTAGTGATTCAGGTAGTGCTGATGCTTCTGTTGCAAGTATGTAATTAGTTTAGAATAGTTTCTAACACCACATAGTTGATATCACTCTTACAGCTCAAATTGTGATTATTGATGAATCTCACTTCAATGTCGTTCTTGGAAATTTCAATGCCAAATTCACTAGCTTTAATTTGAAATTACATGGTGGAGCAAGTTGGTTGTACAATGTTTTCCTCAACAATTTCAGAGACTCTATTGAACAAAGTGCACAAAACGCCATCAATACTCAAGTTGCTGGAGCTATTAATACTGTCTTGAGTAAGGAATTGGCAACTCTCAATCTCCAAATTCCAATCTTATCAATGGGTGTTTTATTTGATAGTACTTTGCAAAGTGTTGTCTACAATACTTCAAATTCTCTCATTGTTGGAACTGCTGGTAGATTATTTGTTAAGAATCAACCAGGTTATGCAGGACCAACTCCTTCAATGCCAAACTCTCTTGGAGCTGATAAGATGGCTGAAATCTTTGTCAGTGATTATACCCTCAATACTGCTGGATTTGCTTTTAACGAAGCTGGATTGTTCAATTATTTACTCACTCAACACATTTTCCCATCTTCTTTCCAATGGCTTTTCAACACTACTAATTTGCAATATTTCCTTCCTCAATTATACGCAAAATATCCAGGTCTTGAAATGCAAATTGACTTTACCACTGCTAGTCCACCAACTATTTCCATTTCTCCAGCTAATGGTGCTGAGGTTAACCTCATTGCTCAAGCCATTTTCCAAGTTGTTCAACCAACTGGACCAGTCAATGCCTTTGCTTTGAATTTCAATGCTGTTATGGATTTGGAAGCTTCTATTGTTGCCTCCAATATCACTGGAACCCTTACTTATAAGAGTTCTAATGTCACACTTGCTTATTCAAATATTGGCCCATTGGACGTTCAATTGGTTTCTACTATTGTTGATTTAATTTTCGAATATGGAGTTGTTCCAATTGGTAATACTCTTGCAAAGAGAGGATTCCCACTTCCATCTCTTCAAGGTCTTACCTTGGTCAACCCAGTAATTTCCTATCAAAACAGATTTATTGCTATTAGGTCAGATTTTACTTACACTCCAACAACAGCCGCCAAGAAATTGAAAAAGTATTAAAAACATTTCAATCTCTCAATTCTCAATAGTCATCGTAGATTGTAGTCATTTAATCTTCCTCTATTCCAATAGCCACACATTGTCTTTCATCACATATCTACAGCCCGCCCTTTTTCCTTACTCAACCAAGCACACACAATTTCATTTTAAAAAAAACGAAATGATGATGAACAATAATAATAACCATGACACAACCTCTTCTGCTACACTCATCAGGAGGAGAAGGAGTAGTCTATTGAATATTATACCCTCAATGTTATTGGGAGGTGGTTCTTCATCAGATCTGCTCTCTTCGAGTGCCGTAACGACTTCGAATACAACCAATAATAATTCAGCCAACAATGTATCAAATCAAAATCCTCAAGCCTACAATATTTGTGTGTTAGGTACAAGAGGAGTTGGTAAGAAATCACTGGTTTCTTACATGATTAATGGTTACTACAATCCTTCTACATTTATGAATTCAATTCGTCAGGTGGGAGATGAAGAAGAATTAGATGATGAGGCTTCTACTTGGACAGCCAATGATGATCAATCGGTTCTATCGGAGAGGAGTTCATCCTTCTCATCATTACATTCGTTCAGGAAGGAGAATGATGAATTGAGAGCAGACTATTCAAAGGTGATTGAGGTGGAAAATGGAGAAAGAAATGTAAAACTAAACTTTTTCTTACTTTCTCATTCCTTTTCAGATATAAGAAATAGAAACATGATGGATAGTGATTTGGAGTTTGTAAAAACTGTGGCTAGAGCCCATTTAGTGATTATGGTTTACGATGTAACAGAGCTGCCTTCATTCGAATCTCTTGTCCTTTACCATGAACAATTATCAAAGATAACCTCAAATCTGCCTTCAGACGAAACCCATGCTGATCCACTTGCTAGTTTCAAATTTGGATCCCCTCAGAGTCCAGCTCTATTAATGACCTCTCCAAGAACTCCTAGAGGAGGTCAGCAACGAAAGATAATGGCAGTAGGAGTCAAGACAGACCTCGAGGATGATAGAACAGTTTCAGAGTCACATATTCTCTCACATAGGAATGTTATTGGAAGTGATATCAAGTTTTATGAATGTTCGAGTGTTACTGGGGAGAATGTGCTAACCTTCTTTGAGGATGTGAAAGAACTTGCAAAATCAATAATAAGGCCAAAGAGCGTTACAGCAAATATTGAAACAAAACAGAGAAGGTCCAGTTTGGTGATTTCATCTTCAAGAACGAATAACTCTGCCTCATCCAGTACTCCAAATTTGGAAAATAGAAGAGCTAGTCTTAGATTGGTTGACTCTTTCAAAAATATTGGAAACAAAATAAGAAATAGATCAAATTCCATTTCCACTAGCTCTCCAGTCATTAATGAAAAGAGAAGATCTCAATCTATTGGTTTAATCATCTCACAACATGAACAAAACACTGGTTACAAAATCTCATCACTCAATTCAGATTTAGATAACGGATCTCAAAAGAAACAACAAACAGTTAACAATAATTCTAAATCATTCCCTCCATCATCATCTGAACCACCACAATCCAAAGAAGTTAGAAAAAGACCTAACACTCTATTTAACATTTTCAAACGTAAATAAACAACCACTCAATCTGTTCTTTATTGTAAAGTGACACCAACCAAGTGCACTCTAAGAAAGTACAATTAATCAACCATCACATGATGAACGTTTCTGAGGTGTTACCTCCACAAACCAAGACATACCAAAAATATTTGTTCAATCTAATTGAGATATTGATTACAAGAACCTCTATTCGAAACTATTGTTTTCAAAACACAAAATAATCCCCAACACAACATCCATATCAATTTACAATCTCTCACATCACCAAAACCAAAGTTACTTTTTTAACATCCATTTCTGCAAACAAACTTCACCCCGCCAAATCCATTTTGAGAAAGTTTTAAAAAAATGACGCAACAACTCAACCTTTCAGTTGTTGAATCAATTCCATCATCTTCCGCAACATCTCTTCAGCATTCTCCATCCATTAATAATAATAATAGCAATTCGGAAGAATTAAAAGAAATGAAAATAGAGTTGAAAGAAATTGCAAATTTAACTTTTAAATACAATGCACCAGATACGACGCAGCAACAAGAGAATATATTCAAGAAACATTCATCATTACGTTTAAAGACAATTTCAGTGTTGGTTGTCATGTTCATATTGTTGGTGTGCTTTTGTTTGGCAATTTTATTGACCTCATTCTTTTTGATATTTCATAATGTTGAACGTGTGGAATCGACTCAATCTTCTAGGAGAGTTTCAAGAGCATTGTTTGATGATTTAAAGCTATTGTCAGATCGTACGTTTGAATATGGATCGTTTGATTCGACAACTGAGTTGGTAAATGGAGCTTCACAAGAGACAATTGACCAATACATGTCAGATTATATGAATTGTGATTATTTGAATAGAGTTAACGTAAATATGGCCTTATTTTACTATTTAAATGGAACAATGCTAAGAGGAATTCATTGTTTTAAAGGTGTATCAATTGAAGGATTACCATCTGAGTTGACTAATCTAGATCAAGAAACTGTTGATGGTCAATCGAATGAATATAGGAAATTCTTTATCAATAATTTGGAAAATCCATCGACTAGACACATTGGATTAATGATACCAAGTAAGAAACTTTCAGAATTGGCAACAAGTGAAACATCACAACAAGCAGTTTCCAACTATTCCTCAATTTTATCAAACGTACTTCTTGTGAATGCAATGCCAATTCAAGGATATGACTCACTGGAATCATTTGGTATGCTCACCTTTGCCAAGTATAATACCTATGATTATCTGCTCGACATCTCAGAGAGGACTCAATTTTGTGTTACGACCTATGACCTGAAAAGTGAATATGAGACAAGTGCTTTCAAGTTGTCAACATCTAATGCAATCTCAGATTCTCTTGATGCTATCACTAGTGAATGGATACCAACCAATATTTCGAGTACAAATGTTTACTCTGATTGGACAAATGATGCTGCATCTCTTGTGAAGGTTATTGATATTGGAAAATCTTCCAGTAACTCGGATTATATTCTCCATGGAAGACAATGCTCCAAGACCATTACTAACAAGTTCTCTTCCTTCTCAGCTGGTTCTCAAAATGAAAGAATGGCTGCCTATCAAATGTACAATGACATTACAGGTGGAAAGACAGTAGTGTTTAGAACTGATATTCAAAGAAGTTCATTCCAAGTTGGTATGGCTTCCTTCCTTGTCGTGTGGTTTGTCATGACATTCTTCGTATTGGTATTGTCAGCTGGCGTTGTCATCTTTATTGAATCATCAGTATTGAGAAGAATTTTAAAATTATCCAAATCTGTTAGAGATTTCTATGAGAGTGGAAATGATTTTAACAAGACAATTCCTCAATTGGGTCACGACGAAATTGGTACTCTCTCATCAAAGATTAATCAAATGTTGGCCAGTTTGAAAAAGAATCAAGAAAAGCTAGTTAGTGACATGGATACAATGCAAGAAATGCTTGAAAGAACTTCAATTCAAGAACAATCCAATCGTTGCATCATGAATAGTATTAATGAGTTTATTGCCATTGTTGAAAAGAGTACTGGATTGATTGTCAATACTAATAGTTATTTTGATAATAAGCTTGTGGACAGTAATGAAAATCAGCAACAAGTCAACTATCTCCATGATACCATTGACAAATTCTTTAAGGAAACACCTCTCGATGAGTTGCTACAGAAATTTGCTGAAATTAGCGATAATGGTATATGGAAAACAAACATCTTCTCCATAACATCCAAACAATTACCAGTCCAATTGAAAGTTTACAATGTCAGATTGCTAATTAAAGAAGGCCAAGTTAGTGATGCCTTTGTAATTGTTGCCATCAATTTGAGTGAAGAAAATGAACTTCAACAATCACTCCAAGATCAAGAAACCAAATTAGAAGAAATGAAGAAAATTCTCGATTTTAATAGAATTATCAGTGATGACTATCTCAAATCAAGATTCTTACAATTGTGCCCAATTCCTAATGCCTCTAAATACATGGCAATGATTGAAAAATTGGAAACTTACAAGCTCACAAACAAACCTCAACAAAGAGCCAAACTTCACAAAAAGATTGTAGAGAGCTACCTAATTGACCAAAACAATATTTCCAATCTTTCTGATTTCCCTCGCTCCTCCATTCAAACATTTAACACTGAGGCCAAGAAGGCAATTTCCTCCCTCGCTCACTTTGATGTATTTGAAAAGATTGAAGTCATTGTCAAGTTAATTCTCATCAATTTGGCCTACACATCATTCATGGAAAATATCAAAACTATTCTTTCAGAGAAACCATCAAGCAGAGAATCCACAATGAGCTCAACTTCCAGTTCTTTTTCTCTTGGATTTGAAATTGCTCAACCAGGAACAAGCTCATCAACTGATGATGAACAGTCAGTGAAATCAGGTTCTGCACAGGATGGTAATATGTATTGGATGTAATTAAAATAAACATTGTTACATTCGAATCAATAATTAATGGATTTTAATGAGAATGAGCTCTTCAAAACCATTTATATTTCCATTTTCAATTATTCTTTACAAAAATAACTAAATACCAAGTTTGGAATGAACCGAGTTTTGGAATAAATTGAGTGGAAAGACCAATCTTGTTGCCATGTCAAGAAATTAATGTCTTTTCATAATTTCAACATTAAAAAAACGAAACCTTTCGAATACAACATTCAATGGATGCAAGAAGTTTACCTTCACTTTCTGAAACACAAGGTGCTGATCTGATTAGTTCTGTGCTGTTGATCCAAAGTATCATGACATTCTCCTTTATTTTCATACTTTCGTTAGGTTTCTTCATTGTGAAAGGAATAGTTTTCACACAAAGACAAAACAGAGTTGCTAAATATCAACAAGAAACGGAGGAAATTAAAAGAGCAGATTTAATTCTTGATGGGTACGTAGATATTACAATGGTAAGCTAATTAATTAGTTTACGAAACCCTTCGCAATTTGTATTCGAATCTTTCGGATACAACAAGTATCTAACCATAGCTTTATACATCTTTCGAATAATGACTTTTACATGGATTGTTACCACCCTTTCCATCTATCCATCTCTTAGACCAGATCTATTCGAAAATATCTATCTGAAAAACTCAACTTTTTTCACACACCACATGATTATGGTTTTCACCACTTATTTCTCACTGCAGACATTTTTAGGTTTCGTCTACTTAGTATTCTTTAGAAATTTCTCGATTAGGTTTTCGTATGAAACAAATTTCCTTTTAAAGAATTATTCTAAATTTGACAAGTGGATCAAAATTGGCTGGAGAGGAATTTCAATATTGTTGTGGTTTGTAGGCGAATTAAATTTGGTTGCTTCATTGGTTGTTTCGATTGGATATTGGGTTGGAAGAGCAAGTGTTCAGGAGGATGTTTTAGATTGTGTGTAAGTATTTAGTTTCTAATAAGTTATTCGACATCAAATTTGGGAAAGTACTGTTTCTTATCATGGTATTACAGGATTATTAAGCTTAATTGACTTTCTCTTGTCTAATTTTCAAATAAGAAAGTGGCACATTGTCACATTAATGTGCTTTCCTAGTTTATACTATATTTGGTTTTTAATTAGTATGAAATCGAGATGGGTATCAAAATTTCCATATAGTATTATTAATTATTATAGAAATCCTTGGTGGACATTTCTATTGTTTCTTGTAGTTGTTTATTTGGTCATTGGAATTATGTTTCTCTTGTTGTGTTTAGTTTCGTATTTGAGAAATAGAATATTAATGAGTTATTTCATCAGAAGAGAAAGTGAGGATGAGAAAAATAATGTTGAGAAAACTCCTGCATGTTGTGAGATTACAATAAGTATTACAACTTGTGAATCGACACCAAATCAGTAAATCATATCCAATTTAAATGTATTAAATATTTAAGATATGTATTCGTTTTATATTCCTTGCAAAAATTAATGAATATTGTCCGTTTTCTTATTTAATATTAAGATTTTAATATTGAGAATGGCTACGGCCATATCACGATGAATGCACCTCATCCCGTCCGATTTGAGAAGTTAAGCATCGTCGAGCCACATCAGTACTGAGGTTGGAGACAACTTGGGAACCTGTGGTGCTGTAGTCTTTTTTTTAGCAAATAAGATATTGCTCGGTAAGAACTTATTGAGAAGGATACTTTATTTTGATTATTTACAATTTACATGATAGCCTGGGTCAACTTGGTTTAGAAACATTTTCTATGAACAATTGCACAGCATCTTCACTATTTCAATATTTGAAGACTCAAATTCGAAAGGGAAATTTTATCGAAAATTGATCAACCAAAAGTTTCTCTTTCTAAATAGATCAAATTCAAAGGTGATAAATAGATGGTCAGGTGGCAAGCTTTTCTAAACAATAACTTACTGAACCAACAATCAATAGATTAGTTGCCTTCACTGTTCATACAGTCAAAGACTGTAGCGGGATCGTCGCCATATTCCTGGCAGGCTTCCGGTCCAAATAAATAATTGAAACCAAGTATAATTATATCAATAATATAAACATTGATTATCCAAATTAATTTTCTTTCCATTAACATTTCATAAAAATTTTAGTTTTCTACAATTAATTTATTTGCATACCGAGTTGAATGAATGAATGGAATAGGTTGGCATTCTCAAATCTCAAAAAGAAGCACCGATAATTTTCAACACAACATTCTCGAAATTAAATAATACACGGATTAGGAAAGGCCAAATTTATCAACAGTTTAACAAGTCATGTGCTTGTCATGAATCAGGACTTGTCAGCAGTAAGGAAATCCTTTCATTATTTGAAACACAGTACTTATTCTTCTATGTTTCCATTTTGAGTATTTCACCTCTTAACATTGCCAATGCATAGTAATGCTTATTTTGGACTTGTGCTTCTATTTTATTCACAAAACACTAAACTGAACTAATCTCGATACTCGAGATGCATTTCATGGTATTTCTAATAGTTCTCTGGCATGTTGAGATCTATGGAAGAGCTCTATTAGGATTACGCGAATTTTCATCATTTATCCTTTCAAGAAACAAAGAGCTTTAGTTTCGATTATCTGAATACAGAGAAATACAAATCTTAAAAAACAATACGAAATGCATACGTGGTGTAATTCGAGAAGTGCAAAGGTTTCTTTCATTGACGAAACGAAGAGAGTGAAAACTAAACTTGAAGGAAAGTGCAGAAAGCAAGAACCGAAACTAAAACGATTGAGAAAAGATATGCAAAATAACAAATTGCTGAAGAATTACTTTGTATTCCATAATGAAGATCCCAATGCAGATGTGTTCATTTACAAGGTAATCCAAGAAGAAACTGATGACGAAACTATTAGAAACCAAGATACAGTAATTTTTACTGAAAAGATTGAATCCAAAAGATCAATCAATGAACATGGTCATTCTCCTTCCATTCCCACCAAACAACCCATTTCTCCATCCAATAACAGTTCAGAATTTCTCAATATTGCAAGTTTTCTATCCAGTCTTCCACTAAACTCAATTGACCAATTGGATGTGCCAACTCTTAAATCATTATTTGGTTTCGCAAATGAAACTAATCCACAACAACCATCACAAGAATCGAGTTACAATTTTGAAGCATTATTACTCTTTTCTGATGATGAGTCCACTTTTTTATAAAGTTGTTGATGTTCAATATTTAAGTTTATCTTATTTGTTTAATTCACTTGACTATAACACAACCATACAATTCAAAAAAGAGATAATAAGAAGAAAACAAGACTTCACTAATATTATTTTCAAGTAAGGGAAAAAGACTACAGCACCACAGGTTCCCAAGTTGTCTCCAACCTCAGTACTGATGTGGCTCGACGATGCTTAACTTCTCAAATCGGACGGGATGAGGTGCATGAATCGTGATATGGCCGTACCCATTCTTAATATCAAAATCTTAATTTTGAATAAGAAGCAGCATTAGGCACAATAAATAATGTGTTTCGATCGACCTTAATTCGGTATTACACTCACACTTACACTCTGGTATTTATTTAGATTAAAACAATCTTTCACTTTGAATAATTTGCATATAAATTGGCCCAACAATACTATGTCTATTATAGTAATAAGAAAGTTGAACATACAAAATATAAAATTAAAGAAATTGTGTAAAATTATATCTCGAACGCCGGGAATTGAACCCGGGTCGCCAGAGTGACAGTCTGGAATGCTACCACTATACCACGCCCGATTACATTCATAATGAAATGTTTCCTTAATGTGCCTTAATGTAAGAAGTTCTGTCATCGTTCTAGGCCATGGTTTGGTGCCATCAAGACCGAAATTTTAATTAATGACAGATAACAATGTCCTTCCTTTTTGATATTATCCTTAAATTCCCAATTAGTTAGTTTAAAATAATTTATTGCTTATCATTTACATAGATCCATAATGAATCATTATTAGCTAGCTTTACATCTTTAAAGAAGAATTCATCAATTTCAATCTTGATTGGATTGTTGAAACGATCGACAGAGTTACAACAAGCACGATCGAAAATGAATACATCTCCCTTCTTTTGAGATAATCTTTCCATGACTAAATCTCTGAGTTGTTCAACAGTTTCTGGACAATGATGTGTAGCAATCTTAGTTGTGTAAATATCCTCCAATATTCCATTAAAACGTTTCATATAACTAATGAGGAAAGTAATTTCCTCCTTCTTGGCAAAACTTGCTGCTGGAGATGCTGAAGCAATTCCAAATGAACATCTAATTGGAACTGCATTATTTGATGATGTAGAAGCAACAACTACAGGTGGTGTTGTTGATTCAATGACAAATTTAGATTCGTATTGTTGAGTTGGTGATTGACCTTTCTTAGCTTTGGAAGCCCTCTTCACTCTCTTATTTGGAGATTCAATTGGGACGAAGAGATTTTCACCTCCTTCCTCTTCATCGATCTTTCTCTTATTTCCCTCAGTATTGGAATCAGTGGTGTTAGTACTAGTGTTGAGGAGATCTGAATTTTCTGAACTAGTGGAAGCAGCTGCCTTTTGCTTTGATCCTTTAGGTGCTTTTGGTGTCCTCTGAAGCCCTTCTCTCTTATTGAAAGCACGACTACATTTCAACATGAATAAATTAGTTCAATTAAAGCAAATTAAATAATTCACACACAAAATGATTCTTAAAAAAACTATAAAACTATATACTACTTACTCCTTATGTGGATCGTACTTTCCATTAGCAAATCTCCACTGCTTATTATAACATGTAGAACACACAACATGAGATTCACCTTCTTTAGGTTTTGGAATTTGATCGGCAAAGTGAGGGAAAGTTCCACAATAATTTTTGTAATTATTAGTGTTGATTGTGTAATTTTTGTGGAAGTTGACTTGCTCGCTACTTCTCCTACAAACTGAGCAGTAAGTTAAATTTTTTCCATTAGAAATACTTGTTGTTGATGTTGAAGTTGTTCTTGTTGCACTTTCCTTTGATTCGTCTTGATTCGACTCATCATCATGATTAGTTACTATTATTCCGAAAGAGTTTCGTCAAAAGATTGAATGACGGTTTTGCACATTTAAGGTGTGGGAATACATCATCATATCCGTGACGATGACGGAAATAATATTATCAAATTAGTTTCGTATAATTTTCGAATAGTTTAGTACTTACGTTGTGTCAAGCCAAGCAAGACATCATGTGCTTCTTGATCAAGTAAAATATTATTGAAGGACGATAAGGCATCGGATGCTTCGGTTTCTTGCTTATTAATCACTGGTAAATCATGACTTGATGCCGAACTTAATGTGTTGACATCTGGCATTTCCTCTTGCTTGATGATTGTTTGCGTAGGCTCATTGGCGTTGGAATTTGTATCACTCATTTTAAGAAAAATAAATTTGTGTTGTGGACGAACGAAACGTTGAGGATTTTTTTCGCGGGTTGTGATTGCTGACAGCGGCAAGCAAAAAATAAGGAATATTAAGAACTAATAAGGAGCATTAAGTGTAGGGACATGGTTTATTAATAGTCCAGAGTTTGGAATACAATAATGTTGTCTACACTTTTATGCGAGCGCTTGCTATTGGAAACTAATGTTGATGGAAGAGGTTGAAAGGTTCAGGTTTTCATGTTTTGCAAGGAGATTCTTATTGTGAGGAACCAAATCCACACAAAAGAGAAACAAGTTGTCGATATTGTACTTGGTGCAAGGAACACATAACGTGATTGTATGCCATTTGTTGAAATCAAGCATTCGGACAATGAAAGAGCATGATGAAGATTAAATTGTTGGGTGGTGTCTGATTTAGTAACTAGAATTTATTCAGGTTCATGTTGAGGAGGAAGATCTCTTTTTGATGAAATCATCAATACTGGATTTTTAATATTAGTATTGGAAATTACAGTGTTGGGTTCTGTTGATGCTCCGGAATAACAAGTTATTGTCCTCCTCTTAATCTAGCAAGAAGTGTAATTGTTGAGTCCTTTTGCACATTATAATAAGCAAGGGTTCTACTATCTTCCAATTGTTTACCAGCATAAACAAGACGTTGTTGATGCACTGGCAAAGCTTCCTTCTCATATAATTTTGCCTTCAGCTCCTCCACTAAATCATCTGGTTCCACCTCTACAACCGTTGAACGTCCACTCAATGTAGTCACGAATATTTGCATCAATTCCTCCACTATTCAATGTATTCTTAATTTTTTAAAGTTCATCTTAATATTTTGAAAATACTTTATCTCTTTGAGAACTTTTAAACATATTACTTTAAATTCAATTGATAATAGAGAGAAAGGGTGGCTCCAAAACTGACGGATAGTGCAATGTCTGCTTGAAACCTACCAAAGGGTGCACTCAACTTGTTTCCAAGGAGGCACACCTCTGGACCCGACAAAAAATTGAGTTAATAGTAAACGCGCCCCGTAGGACGCTTTCAGCTATTAAACTGAAAAGAACAGATACTACACTCGATCAAAGCCAAAAGGCCGAGAAAGATGTTTCGAAAAAGAGCAAAATCTGTCATGTATTCATTGCGCTTGGTGTGCTGTTTGATTAGCGCATTGTTGTGGGATTTTATTTTTTAAGGCTTTAAAAAAAATTCCTTGAACACGAAGCAAACCTTATTGAACACACTTTTAAATTAAAAATTTATTTAAATTTGTTAGCAACTCACAAGACAATTCGTCAAATAGATAACATCACCATTAAAATTAAATTGATGGCAAAGCTTGATTTATTGGCAAGCTACCACAGAAACCAACAAGTTAGAATTAAATAATAATCATCATGGAATTCTTCCGATAGAAGTTGTGAATTTGAAGCAAATTAACTCCAATACTTGAATATTGCAACATTAGAAATGATGGTTAAGTGCATGTAATTGTCAGGAAGTGATTGTTCAATTGAATTTGAGAAGAGTTCTCTCACTGATCTATGAAGAAATTCATTAAGAAAATTTGATTTTGATTCCGGTAAAATTCAATTTCTTAATAATTATTAATAATTAAAAAAGGCCGTTTTAGAAGTGGACGCATAATATATTCCAGCCAATTAAAAAGGCGCATGGGTATTACAAATTTAAAAAAAGAATCAAAAAAAATGTCGCAACAAGCAAATTCACCTCTCACAGTTCCTCTCCGATTCAAAGGAGACAAGGTTGTGATCATTACAGGAGCCAGTGATGGTATTGGAAAGGCTGCTGTTACTCATCTTGTTGAAATGGGTGCTCATGTTATTTTAGCTTGTAGATCGGAGGACAAGGCCATGAAAGTTATGGAAGAAATTAGAAACAAGACAGCCAATAAGGATGCCATGATGCAATTTATTCCGTTGGATTTGTCTGATTTGGAATCAGTTCGTAATTTTGCAAGAAAGTTTTTGGAGAAGAATTTACCAATTCATGCTCTGGTGTGTAATGCTGGAGTTTGGGAAGTGGAAAGAAAGAAAACTAAACAACAGTTTGAAAATACATATGGTATTAACCACTTGGGCCATTTCTTACTGGTTAATTTATTGTTGGATAAATTGAAAGAAAGTGCTCCATCGAGAATCATTATACTGAGCTCTAAAATTCATTCAAGTGGGGATGCTAAAGAATTATTGAGCGATCCAAATTATGAAAAACCATCATCATATAGTGGAAAGCAAACTTATGCAAATAGCAAATTAGCTAATCTTCTTTTTGCTTACAAATTGGTTAGAAATTTGAATGAAGGCAGTTCAATACCTCAATCAGGAGTTAGTGTAATTGCCATGCATCCTGGTGTTGTGAACACACAAATTTTTGCAGGGTTATTGGGAAGTTTTTCTTCAATTATAGGTGGTCTATTCTTTGATACTCCAGAACATGCTAGTCTCTCAGTAGTTTTCCATGCAGTTCATCCTGATCAGAATGGCGTTACTGGTTTCAAATATTATGAACAATGGAAGGAGAAGAAGAGTATTGCAGACAGTTTCAATGAAAAGTATCAGGACGATTTGTGGGAAATGAGTGTTAAACATGTTGGAGGTCTCACTTTGTAATTAACAACCAAATTGTATCATTAAAATTAATTTATTATCATTCGCTGTAAAAGAAATAATTGCATTATGATTAGTAAATTCAAATATATTTCCTCATATTTTGTTTTAATTAATTTTTAATATAAAAAATGCAGCAACAAGAACCAACTTCCCATCAAGTGGTTTTCACTCCTTTACAACTCCCAGCTGATCTTACTCCGGGAACATCATATGTAGAATATCAACAAAATCAGTGGACAACAATCATGACAAATACAACTGCTCTTGTTTCTAAAAGTCTGGAAACGGAAGCAAAATTGCAAGACAATGCCAATTTATTTAATCAAATTAATAATTCTTTATTTAAACTTCAAAAGGAGCTTGATCCGAATAATGTAAAAACAATGAAAACACAACTTGTAAATATTCAACAACAATTGGAAAAGGTGATACGGATGACGGAAAGTGTAGAGGATTTATTAATCTTTATGAGAGCACAAACACATTAAAATTAGATAAATTATTTATCTTTACTCGAGAATAGTATATATACTATATGATTTGGAATTCTTTCCAGAATAAATTATTATTAACATTCATCATTAATTATGAGAATTAAGGTTTACAGTATGTCTTTTTAATGTAGACACCGGTCCAACAACAAGCAACACTAATAAACATGAATAAGAATCCACCAAAAAAGATTGCTATTGGAAGGAAAATATAAGTATAGAGTAATTCATCAGGAGGAACTGGGAATGGAAGTCTCTTTTGTTTTTGATATTCAGTGTAGAGTCTATTTACAACAGAGGTTCTGAGATAGGTTGATAAAGTAGTATTCAGATCACTATTGAGTAAATCAATATAAGTTTGATTAGTGAATGAGAGTGGAGGATAAACATATGGACCCTTATTAGAAATTGTCATTGTTTCTGGATAACCATTAATAGGTTCCAAATAGAATTGATAAGCTCTGTAAGGATAATTTGGATTTCTACCATAAAATGTTAATTCACTAAATGCTCCAATATCCATAGCTCCAGGTGCCGAATAGACTGAACCTGAAGAGGATGTTATCTTGTCAGCAACATACATAACTTTCGAATCTCCGTAAATACTAAAATATTGTCCATTAAATCCAAACTCTTGTAATTTGGTATTGGCACATGTTTGAAATTGGAATACTACTGTTGTTTTGGTGGTAGAATCTGTCTTGTACACAAATTGTAAACAGTTTCCATCATATTTAGAAATAATTTTCTTTGAACTTGATGAAAGTGTGAAAACGTGACTGGTACCATTCAAAGCACTACTATCACAATAAAATAGATCATTGTAATATTCTGCTTTTGACTTATCCAAATTATAATTTACCAAGTAGGAACATTGTGGTGTAACATTCGGATCAGTTCCTTGCCAATCCAACAATTTTCTAATGTAAAAATCAGATCCATATATTGTTTCATTAAATAGAGGTGGTAATGTAGTACCAACATTAGGAATATCTGTAGAATATGGTACATTGTATGGATCCACAACAAGAAAAGCTTTAAAACCTAGAGTATTATTAAACAAGGCAATCACTGACTTGAGAGCAGTGATAGGACCTCCATCCCTTCTCTCATAATAAATAGGAATTCCATACAATAAATTATATCTATTCGATGATGAATTATACATCATCTCCAACTCTCTGATAGTATACATTTGATCCGTTTGTAGTGAATAGGTTGTATCCCGTACTTGTAAATTTACTATCGCATTCTCCCTTCCGTATATACTACAACTCATCATTATCAGCATTGCAATGGTTATTGTCATCATCATCATTAGAAAATTTACAAAGCCTTGTTGTGTTGTTGCTTCCTACTCTGATGAACTTTTGAAAAGTGGAACATATTGGTGTGATGATAATTTTTTGTTGTTTTTAATGTTGGAACTTGGAAGTTAAAGTAAAAAACAATTAATATTTCAATCTGTTTGAAAATTGTACATTATTTATTCGATGAATCTTAATGTGTTCTTGTCCTTTCATTTCGCATTTCATCTGTTGATGATGCTATAGAAATTGTGAATTCTGACCAATCTTCTGACATTGGAAACTGGACTAATAGAAGTGCCTTATTTTATTGAAATACAGTCGATTCAATCTCTATAAATTGTAATCAGAGTTGAAACTTTGATTTTACTATTTTCCAAATAAATGGAGGGTCAATACCATATTTTAGAAAGATGAATGTTGGCAACCTTTCTTTCATCAAGGAAACAAACGACGGTCACATGCAATTCATCTTGGAACACTACTCGAAACCTTTCCATCAACATCATTTATGATGAAAATATCAAAAAAAATTAACACATAATTATTGGAATAAATTATCATCACCATGCAACAAGACAATACTCCATACGCTCAATTCGACAACGTCCAACACGCTCAACCACAACAATACTACACTCCACAACAGTATCCACAATATAATACTACCACTACTGCCACTCCACAATATGATCCATACGCTGATCAACCACCAGTAGCTGCCACTTCTACCACTCAAACTTCACAATATTATTCTGGAGGTTATGTTCAACCGTAAGTGGATTCACCAATAATCAACAAATATTTAACATTTTTTAATATTCGGGTGATGATTTTTAACGATAAATCATGATAATATAATGATAACAATATATGATAACAATATAGACATTATGATGATCAATATCACAAAAAGAAGAATGATGACATGACTTTATTATTATTCATTGTTGGACTTTTTATTCCTCTTGTTTGGATTGTTTTGTTCTTTATTACAAGAGATAAAACCAAGTACAGCAATAGAGCTAGAACAGTAAGTTTTTATTGATATTAATCAATCTAATATCTTACAATAATATTTTACAAAAAAAAATATAGCTTGGTAATGTTGGATGTGGTTTGATTGTTGCTTCAATCATTTGTTATGCTGTCTTTATTGTTATCATTGTTGCTGTCAATATTGCTGTCCGTGCCAAATAAATCAGCATCAAATTCAAATTATTGAACTGCACATTGTTGTATAAAAATTGTTGGCTGAATTGTGAAATTATTTCGATTCCTAATGGAATACAATTGGAAGAGCAGTCAGGCTAACTCTGAAAAAATTACGAGCCGTTTATGCATGAAACACTCTTACTTTTTTTTTGACCGCTTCAACTCCCAAGCGCCTGCAGTCTCTAGTAAGCAGTGTAAAGGAGGAGGCTTTTAAGGCTTAAAGGTGTGTCGATCGATTATATCTCCCTTAGAAGAAAAAAAGTTTTTTAAATTTAATCTTACGATCGTAACAATATAGAATATACATTGAATAATATAGAGAATGGATCCTTCAATGCAAGTACCTCTTCATCAACCATTGCAAGAACAAGCTAAATATGCTGGAGAGGAGAAGTATAATTATTATTATGATCAACCTCCACCTTATTATACAACAACAACACCTCAATATCCAATACCTCCTCAAATGCCAATGACTAATACTGCAATGCCAATATCAAGTGAAAATTATTATCCACCTCAAAATGGAGGTTATGTTGTTCAACAATATCCTGGACAAACAACCACTCAACAGTAAGTGTTACACTTTTTCTGATGTAGATGATCAATTATTAGAACAACAACCTTTGTTTCTAACCCTGTACTGGGTGATAATTTTGATTTGAAGAAAAAGAATGATGATATGGCCTTTGTAATCTTCCTGATCGGATTTTGCTTTCCAATTATTTGGCTTATTCTCTTTGCAATGACTAGAAATCGTATGAATTACAGTGATAGAGGAAGAAGAGTAAGTAATTGTTAGGCTTTGTGTTTGCTAATATTAATAGTTTGGAAATATTGGTGGAGGATTATTTGCATGTTTCGTGGTGTTGGACATTGCTGTTGTAATTTTAATTGTAGTATTGAATAATGTTGTAGTAAGGCGTTATTACTAGTAGTAATGGTAAATATTAATAAAATAAATAATAATTATTATAATTAAATTAAGAAAATAATAGTTTTATTCAAGGTTTCAATTCTATTAATAATTTAGTCATAAAAAATGCAATCATTTCGAAATGGAAAGATTTATTTAATTCAACAATTTTTTGAAGCTATTCAATATTTGCCCGAACCTAAAAGAATTGCAGGTTTTCCTCCCAAACAAACAACAGCCTTGTATCACTTGGAAAAAGATGAACGATTAAAGCCTTCAAAATTATCGGAAATTTTGCAAAATGATGATGAAACTACAATCACCATCAAGATAATGTACATAATAATGGAAGTTGTGAAAACATATCCTTCCTCGAAATTAGTAGAGTTTTTCCCATTTTTTGAATATATTATTGAATTGGATCAGGAAATGTATAATAATTTGTTAATACTTAGACAAGTTGTTTATCCAAATCAAGAAACGAGTCGCTCAACAAATGAAACTGTTGATACTGCGTTTAAGAGAATGAGTTTTCAAAATGAAATACCCGAGTGGAAGCTATTTACATTTTTATTATTTTCAAGGATTTGTCATCGAGGATTTTATAATGAATTTTTGGAATATTCAACAGAATCAGGAAATGTACTTCAAAATGTACCATTATTTCAGTTGGTGTTGCTTGAATATTTTAGACGAAAGAAGGCTAATCATTTATCAAAATATTCTGACCACTATTGGATTAGCTATGAAGAATTCGTAATTGTGGGACAAACATTGGAATTTTTCAATCAATACGTATATTGGATGGATTCTATTGATGAAGAATCTGATGAGTTTATATCAGTATTGAAAATAGAACAACTCCGAATGATAAAAATGATTATAGAAAAACTGATTAGTATAACATACGAATTGTCAGAAGTATTTGATTTCCGATTCGAAACTAATATTGGAGATATTGCAAAATATCTGTCCAACATAGGAACCAAATTAATTTCTACATTATGCTCCTCCTATTTTGAGTCAGTTCAAACAATTCTTCAATGTTTGGGAAATGATTTTGCAAAAATTGGTAATAAGATTAATTCGGATATGTTTTGTCACGGAAAGACAGTCGGTATGATAAAACAGAAAATTATCAATATTTCAGGATCAGTCATCCAATCCATGTTTTTCTCCAACTTGTTAGATCCATTCTTTAATACGAGACAGATAGTAGAGACTGTACTGAGGAGTTTTGTAGATCCTTATTTAAAGATATTACTACTTGAACTGCAGAAAGATGCAAAATCTGAAGAGGATGTATTAATCAAAGAAACGGCATGTAAATCAGCAGGATATTATAGTGCTATTTTTGGTAAACTACTTTACCAGGTTTCTCTTAATTTAAATAATCAATTTGGTGAATATTTGGAACATATTCAATTTCTCAAAAATTTCAATGATGAAATTATTGACATTATGGTGAATAACTTGAAGGATGAAAACTTGAATGTGAGAAAGACTACGTGTATTTCTCTGTCAAACTTCCTTTCTTCTAGAGAAATTAGACCATCGGTTTTTTCACAAATTGTCGAGTATTTTAAATATAATTTAGATAACTTTAGAACCTATTCTAATTTGATTACAGTAATTTTGAAATTTTTACATAGAGATAATTTGAGAGATGCCCACACTTTATTAATTGCCAACACTTTCCTTTCGAATCTATGTGAATATTTAGAGAGGGCTAATTTAGACCAATTCAAGGAGTGGAAAGTTTTGACTACTTGTGTCTACTATTTGGGACATAATATATCAATCAGTATTCTGAAAGATTTTTTAGATTTCATTAAGGAACATATTAGAAAATTTTTACAACAAAAAAGATCTAAATTGATACATTATTTCCTACCAATACTTGGATCATTCTTGAAAACGGCTCAGCCAAGTACCATTTATGTGATTGAAGAATTGGGAATTTTAAAGGATTTGAATGATTTACTCCATCTATTTGCCAGTAAGAAAGAATATCACGAATCTTTCTTCAAATTAATTGATGGCATGTTTATGGCAAATATTTTCAAGAATTTAAATTGTTTGAAAGAGGAGACAAATATTGTGAAAGATTTTGTACAGCCTTTCTTATCTAATTATTTATTCGAGAAGGTTCAAGTTGTGAATAGGAATAATACCACTTCGTTTGATGCATGCGTACCGTGTATAGTCTCTTTTGGAAGAATGGTGGAATATTTTGTTATTGTGAGACCAACCGATGAACAATGGCTTGATAATTTGGCTAAGGAGTCTATTCAAACTATGAAAGAATTATTGACCCATGTTACCCTATTCTCATTGGATGATGCTTCAAGAATTACTGATGCAAAAATCAATCTTAGAGTGGAATCAGTGAGGTCACTTATTTTGTTGAGCTATTTAAACATTGATGATGTTGCACAAATTTTTGTAGATCATGTGGATGATTTTTTCCTCTTTGATGATGTCCCAGATAGATTTGATTCGAGTATTATTGAGTTTGGCTTTTTGCAATTATTGGAATATTCTATTGATCATATGAAACTAGATATGAGACAAAGCTATGGGGATTTGTTGAGTAGAATTGATGATTACATTTATGGTGAAGTGTTTTCAAGGAGATCATGTAGGTTGACATTACATTGGCGAAGAGTTACAGAAAAGCTAAAGTTGTAAATAAAGGTATTCATTCACAAGGATTAAGAGAAAAAATATGAATCGCCCACCGTGGGGGTCGAACCCACGACCACAAGGTTAAGAGCCTTGCGCTCTACCGACTGAGCTAGACGGGCAGATATTAAGGAATATTTGTCCCACTAATCATTATTTCGGCCTTACAACCATTTCTTACTAATTAATATATTCAAAGAATTTTATTTACAACAGATTGAACATGATAGACACAACAATGGTAAGAAGAATATACACAGGACCATTGTTTGTAAAAACACCATTTGACTCACTAACAAGAGCTCTAACATCCAATGTGTTGTTTTCATCCATGTAGCCATCAAATTCCAAAACCATTTGATCCATCAAAGAATCAACATTTACAGATCTAGCCATCATTGTGGATAAACTAGCATCTGTTGTTACTCCATTCTTATCTACAACAATAGTAATTGGACAAGGCATATCGAGAATACAACCACATTTCAATCCTTCCCAACTATTCACAAATCTCTGAGCTAGGAATGTGAATAAATTATTGGCAACTCCAGTATCAGGACTTGCATATTTCAAAGTGATAGACTTGTCGAGGAATATTCTGGCAGGTGCCACAACTGCGTAATGTTTACAATAGAGACGAGTGGAAGCAAATGCAACACTGGAAACTTGTGGTTGAAAAACAGCAGCTCTATACAAGTTGAGTTTTTCAAGGTTTGCTTGATCATTGCTTCTTACCATTGGATTTCCTTTTGGAAGAAGAGCAATCGGTGCTTTTTGTTTCAATTTAGCATGAATCTCATCCAATGCCAATGACTGAGTCAATTGGCCATTATTTGCCAAATCAGGGGCCATGTATGGAGTGCAATTTAAAGCACGTGCCATTGCAACAGCTAACAATCTATTATCAGAACCATTTACCAAAGTTTGAGTTTGAGCAGTTCCTCCAAGGGCTTTCAAATTAGCTGCAGTATTTTGACAAGTTCTACCTGCCAATGTCTTGTTTGTACTAATGATATAGGATGTAACAACGTTATCTGATTGATCCATGTCAACAATACCAAAATCTCTGACAGTCATACATGATTTTCCATCAAGAGCAGTGCCAAGTGCTGGAACTGGTGGATTAAAGAAGGAACCAGGATTATTGGTTGCATTTTCCTTAATAATTTGACTGATTGACGTTTGGACAGCTTCAAAAAATTGTTTTCCATTGCATGAGGCGAATTGGCCAAAGATATCATTTGCTCCATCAATACCATTTACACAGTTACCTTGAACAAGTGAATTACTGGAATCAATTAAAGTAAGAGAACCAGCATTTGTACCAAACCACAAACCAACAATTGCTGTTTTTGGAAAGGTAGGAACAGTTGGTTTGATTGCTGGTTGAGTATTTTGAGTAATTACCAAAGGATTATAAATCATGAAGGATCTTGTCTCTGGAACGAAAATAACACCCTCAACAAATGATTGTTGATCAGCAGCTGTCATGACACAAGGACCATTAGCAGGATTGACAGCTCTCAAAATATAAGGGGTTGCCAATCCTTGAGGAGTGAGTGGATTTGGAGGAACAATAAGAGCACAATCAGGATTAGCACCTTTTACAATTCTGATATAATGTACAAGAATAATGGCAAGACAAATACTTGTCTTGAGTGAGTTGGAAACGATCATGTTGAGCATTTGTGAATGATATTCAATGGTTTGATTTGAATAACAACAGTATTTGTTTTTTTTTTGATATTGTTTACTAGTCCAATAAAGTGCCGGCAATTTAACAGAAATTGCACAAATCATGTGTTGTCAAAAAGGAAAAGTAGGTTCTCATAATGTTGAATGAAATAAAGGATGAAAGGTTGAGAGATACACGAATAATAACTAATGTGGAGTTTGGATAATGATCTATCACGAAAAACTGATTCTCTATCATTAAAATTGTTTTCATTTTGTTGATTTGACACAAAGATCCATCATAAATCATTGCAAGTAATAAAAACCTAATTTTCATGTTGAATCTGTCCTTTTGTGAATAAACAAAAACATGAATCGCCCACCGTGGGGGTCGAACCCACGACCACAAGGTTAAGAGCCTTGCGCTCTACCGACTGAGCTAGACGGGCTACATTAGAAATGCTTGAACTCCCTTAATGACCGACAAGGCAACTTGTTATGATGCTAGCCACTTGATTTTGTTCAATTGTGGCTCATCTTTAGGGGTATTCCTGAAATAACTAATCTTGTGTACAATATATTTATTTGGTTTGTAAATGCTACCATTCTTTAACTTTGTTCATTTACTCATTCTTAGTTATCATATTTAGCTGATGTGAAAAAAATGGAAGATAAATCAAGACTCGGATTCAAATTTTTAGAAAAGATGGGTTGGAAGGAAGGTGATGGTTTGGGAAAGGATGGTTTTACGGAACATGTAAAAGTACCAGTCAAAACAGATACTGCAGGTATTGGAGCAACAGAAGAAGCAAAGAAAGAAAGAACTGCAACTGTAGGTAAAAATCCAAACCAAGAAACAGAAGAAACAGAAGAAAAGAAAGAAGAAAATGAAAAATAATATACAACAATTCCAACATCATGCCACTTTGCTAGTCTTCACAAGGTCGCATATTGATTGTCAACTTTCAATGATTTAATTTTAAAATCCTGTATTCATTGAATTGTTTTCAAACTAAATTCAAGTACATTATTTTCTAGCACATTATTCATCAAGACTTTCCATCAACCACTCACATTATTAACTTAAAAACTTGTTTTTCGAATAACAAGCAACAAGTCCAGAAAGCTCAAGGATTTTGGATAGAAGAAATCCTTCATTGAACCATAGCTAAAAAATGTTTTTAGATTGAACTAATTTTCAATAATTGAAATTTTACTTTACAATATTTCTGTATATTTACAAAAATGCTTTGAAGGATTGAAAATTAAATTTTCACTCAATAGTTACCATATCTTCTCTTGATGGAGAGTTTAGAAAGCTCCTCCTTGAGTTCCTTCACTTTCTTTCTATTCTTTTCCAAGTCCATTCTCAAGGCAATTAAGACAAACACAACACTTCCACACAACAATCCAAATTTGAATGGATTTGTATCCATCCAAGAGCTTAGATTGGCTGAATTATTTGTATTGGACTCCTTCACATGCACATATTCCTGCAAGTGACTTATTTGCTTATTGAGCACATAATTCTGATGTCGGATTTGATTCAATTCTCTGAGAATATTCATTGCCTGATGATAATCAGCTACATTCTGATCGTGTTGTTGATGCTGTTGCTTGTGTTGATGAGTATTGTATGAAGTAAATGAATCAACATGATGGAACGCATTAGATGCAGCTCCATGAGTAGTGGAGAGTGCAACTGCTGGTGATGCAGTATTGGTATGATTTGTATTGTAATATTTACAAAAGTAGGGCAGAGATGATTGTCTCTTGGAATGCAACTTCATTTGGAAGGATCCTTCGCTAGCAGTTGGTACTGAATTGGTACCACATAGAATCGTGGCGACTGATTTGGAATTCTTCTTGGTTGTAAGATTTGAGAATGATTTGAGTGAGTGCTTTTGAAACATTTTTTTTCTGTTGGAAGAAGGGAATTAGATGTTGTTGATGATGAATTAAAAGAAGTGGTGAAGGGGCAGTAGTTGTTGTTTGATGATGGATTATTTGTTGTTACTCTTTTTACTAAAGTGTTCAATTTATCTACCTTCTAAATTTAGACGAATGACATTTAATAGTTTGACTAGTAAAATTCAATATCAATTAAATAATAGGTTTGTTGAATAACATTATGACAATTAAGATTGTAATCTTCAAATAGCAATTTCTAATGATCTATTGTAAATTCATTTAAAATATGAAATTTTCTCTCTAAGCAAATTGTAAACTTGTTCATTTTCATAGAAGACAACTGGCAGATGTGGATAAATGTACTGTTCAACATTGGCAGCATTATTATGCTGGATTGCCTCAATAACAAGCTCTGAAGTAAGGAAACTTGGAGGTATTTCTTTAAAATTGGTGGGTTCACGAATCGAAAGGTTGATAAAATCCAAATCTTGTCTTTGGCGCCAGCCTAGACCGAACATACCCAAACCATACAATTTCGGATAAGATTTCAAAATCTGTAAAATATTGTCTTTGGTGTGGAAGGATAATGGAACATCTGGCCAACGACACAAGCTGCTCTTTAAAGCAAATTCCACCAATTCCAATGTCAACATTTCTTCCTTAATTAGTGATATCACTGGACGACGACATTTGGCACCGTGAGTAATGGCAATCTTAACTAGTTCAGGAGTTTGTTTCAAAGAATCTATGGTAATTGGATTAGTAGCTACTAGATGCTCAATCATCTTGGCACTCATTTTGAATCCATTTTGCAGGTTTGGAAGAACATTCATCAATTCTTCTCCTAGACCTCTGTCTGCTAATTTCATTAACACGTCCTCATCACATAGTAGTGAATGATCTATTTTAGAAATGTCAATAGGTCTATATTCCAATATTTCCAATATGAAATTCTTATTTGCCCTAAGGTTACGATTTATCAATTCAAAAGCAATAGGATGAGCTCTAAATAGCAATACAGCTTTGGTGTAATCATTACAAAATAAGTAAAGCACTTGATTAGGTAACAATTCTAATGATCTATAATAGTTTCTCTCCCCGCCTTCAATCATGCTCAATAGATAACTTGAAAATATCTCAACATCCTGTTTTAAAGCTTCATTAAGGGAATGGTAGATATATGAATGATTAACCAGAAATTTGAGAATTAATTCTCTATCGTTTGTTTTCAGTTCTTCAGAAGCAATTTCAAAAAGAACTCTTGCATTAGTTTTAGTAATGGATTCCATTATCAGACCACTATTGCCTCGAATTTCCTCTGGTACTTTATGAACAATGCTCTGTGTTGAATTTTTTAGCGCAATTAAGGCAACATCTCTATCTCTCTTTAGCCTTTCAGATATTGATAGGTATTCGTAGGAAGAAAGTCTTACGGCAGTAAGTGCAATCTCTTTGTCATCTGCATAAATAGGAGGAATTTGAGAAATACTTAGGCGGTTTTTTACAGCTCTCAAACAAATATCTCGGTCATTCTTCAAATTGTCAGACAGTGAATGGTAAGTACTACATGTATTATCGATCATACTTAAGGCATATTCCTTATCGTCAATAACAGATCTTGGAATGAACTCTTCAATAGAAAGTGAAGGTAACTCTTTCATTCTGAAAGGTTTGGCTTTGAGTGCCTCTTTTGTAACATGAGTGCCTTTCACTCTTTCAGAACAAAATCTAATTGTTAGAGGATGAATTTGTAAAATATCTTTCATGAAAATATCATCGTCCTTGATTTCATCTGAGGCAAATTGAATTGCATCTACATAATTGGAAACTGCTACCATTACAATTTCCTTATTATTCCTTAGTTCTTTTGAAACATATTTCAATTGACTTCCATTTGTTTTTAAATATTTTGTCACGAACTCTGGATCATTTTTCTTTTCCTCAGTTGCGAACCTGATAGGCTCTCGTTTAGGCACAATTTTAACATTTAACTGTTTTTGTGGTAAAAAGCTCTTTAACCATTTTTTTAACTTTCCCAACTTTTTAAATGCATAATCATCATATGCCCTATATTCCAGATCATACAAATTGAAATTCTTGTCAGCATACAATTTCCTTGTACGAGTGTGGAATGGATTATATATTAAATCCTCTGACATTCCCCAGCAAATTTTTTGAGATGTTGATCCAATACAAACCAAACAATCATGAACAAAATTAAAATCTGATAATTGTAGTAATTCCAATATTGGAGCCTTGTCCTTATAATACAAGTATCCAAAATCTTTAGTCCATTCCTGAATAGGAGCTATCATATTTACAGGGTGAAACAAGGAATCATTCCAATCAATTCTTCCATTTGTTGTTTTCAATAATTCTCTTGTATAAAAGTCAACCTTAAAACCAGGCATTCTTCTCTCGAATACCTCAATTTCCTCGTCATCTACTGCTCCTTCTCTCAGAGGTTTACAAACAAGTGTTTCATCATTTAATTGATTGAAAATTGCGAAAAACTCTCTACTCTCCACTGATAGACAGGCAAGCCTAAGATCAAGACAAACCAATTCCATCACCATTCTATATTTTGCCTCTAAGTAACTAAAGATCAATTCCAAAGTATCGGGAGACATCAATTCCTTCCATCTTGATCTTGTTGCTGCGAGGCAATTAACTGGTGTTCCATGGAGCTGTTCTTCTTCATCTTGTTGGATCGTCATCATTATTATATTATTCAAGCGTTAAATAGTAGCCTTCCAATCTAGAGCTATTTTTTTGAATGGAATTTGTAAAGAGATATATATTGTAGAATGTTGTAAGAAAATTGGAATTTTAGGAAGCTTGTGATAAAATTACAATAACGTTTTTATTCTTTAATTTCATAAACAATATCTGTTATGACTGGCTTAGTGGTAACACCTTGTACTTTGTTATAATCAACAATTTCTTCGTGGAGCAACTTTTTGATTTCTTCGATTGGCATTTCATTATCACAATTGAATGAGAAGAGTTCAACACCTTCTTCGTCTTCATCTTCTTCAAACATTGATTCCAAATATGGATGAGCAAGAGCTTCTTCAACTGTTATTCTCTTAAGAGGATCAAAAGTCAACATCTTTTCCAATAAATCAATTGCTAATGGATTAGCATGTGGGAAAATATCTTTAAAGTTTTGTTTTTGTTTCTTTGGAAGTGTTTTCATGTATTTCTTTGCCTTGGCACATCCTCTTGTTTCTTCATCAGTTGGTGTACCTGTAACGTCAAGAATCAAATCCAATTGGTTAAGATAATTCTTACCAGGGAAGAGAACTTTCCTCTTTGGTGGTTTATCCAACATTTCAGCAAAGATACATCCAAGACTCCAAATATCCAATGGTTTTCCTGCTTGATCCCACATGAGCAACAATTCTGGACTTCTGTACCAACGAGTGGCAACATAAGTTGTTGACATTTTAGGATTTGTATCTGATTCAATACCACGTGACAAACCAAAGTCACAATATTTAATTTCCATATCTCCATTGATAAGAATATTTGATGGTTTAATATCTCTGTGCTATGTAATGTTGAATATTACGTTTTGTTTAGTGTATAAAATAGATGATTATTATGTAATAATAATAGTTAAATAGTAAAATAATTATCGGAGCATTAGTTTCAGCACAATATGTACAAAAGAACAATAACATACCAAAATATTAGCAGAGTGAATGGTCTTTAAACCCCTAAGTAAATGGTACAAAAAGTATTGAATATTTTGATCTGTTAATTCTTGATTAGATTTAATCATTTGTCTCAAATTAGAATCCATAAACTCCATGACAATATAAACGTCATTAAATTCCTCAAAAGATGGTGGAAGAACCAAATCATACAATTGAACAACATTTTCACATTCTCCCAAATGACGGAGGATTTTAACTTCTCTCAAAATTCTCTTTTGATATTCTCTATCATGTTCGAAAATGTTGAAGATCTTCTTGATGGCAACTTCTTGTTTTCTCTCTCTATCATAAGCAGAACTATATAATATCATCAAATTAAATATTATTATTATTACGATAATTGTTAAATATAATCCTCATCATAGAGTATACTTACACAACGACTCCGTAAGCTCCTTGCCCTATGACTTTCTTCACTTCATATCTGGATGGAATTTCAAATTTGTTACCAGCAACAATGTAGGTTACGTGCTCTAACTTTTTCTCTTCGCTCATCTTCTATATGTATTGTGCTATATTTTAATAATATCAAATCAACATTGTTAAACAATACATGTTCAATAATATCATCATCAACAAAATAAATTCCATCATCATGGTTCATACAAAATCAAGATCATCATCGTATCACCACATCCATCCGCATCAACAATATATAGATAACATGTTCAACAACAACAATAAATAATGCGATCATCATCAATAAATCAACACATGCACACATGCTCGTAAACTTACATGTTGATTGCGCTAAATTTTTTTGTGGAGAAAATTTTGGATGACAGTAAAACGCTGCTTTTGAAGTTGTAACTTGAGTATTGCACTCTATTCGAATGGTTTACAAGAGAATTATCACGAAGGGTTTTGGATAGGGAAAGGCTCAAATAAATACTCGAAGAATATTGAATTGGGGTGACCACTTGCCATATTAATTGAGAAAATATAGTTCGAGGATTTACTCGATGTGTTTTGGAGTGTATTAAATATTGAGTAGGTTGACTGGTGGTGATAAGAATAAACTTGTTTAGAGTTGGTTGAGTGTTTTATTGATTCAACGTTTCACCATTCGTTAGTACAGGTTTGCTGTTTTTCTTTTCAACTCGTTTCATGAATCGTCTTGGAGGAGCCATCGCTCTCATCACTTGTGGATCTGAAATAATGGTTGGTGTCACATTCGATGAGAAAGGTTCACTTATTTCCACGATTTCTGTTGGCATTGAATCTGTATTTTCTAAATTGTTTCTTGCTCTAATTTTTACAATTCTTGGAGAGAATGTTGGAAGTTTAGTTTGGTCTTTGGATTGATCTTTGGATGGAGCGAGAATTAAACTCACATTATGGTTGGAAGTGACATGTTTGTGATCATATTTGACATTTCTATCTAAATGGCGTTTTGGTTGAATGATTTCACTAGAATTGAGGGTTGGTAAATCAGAGAAAGTCAACATTGGTGATGAAATTGAACTATTGGTATCAACATCTTCTGATGATTCAATATCGGATTCATCATCTGAATCTGACTCCTCAGAATCTTCCTCTTTCTTTTCTTGTTCAAAGTTTACAATCTTGATTTCAATACTTCTTGCAGTGTTTGGATTAGATTCAGGTTCATCAAGTATTTCTTCCCTTTGTTCAGCAATACTCTTTCTAATTTGTTCATATGGATCTTCGTTTTGTGTATCACAGACTGTCTTTAGAGATGCTTCAAAGAGGGTATCAAAATTTTCAATGAGTAAACATGTGACATAACTCATATGTTTGACATTTTGAGCTAATTGGACTGCATTTTCCAATCTAGGTCTGAAAAGGTTCATACTAAAGATGAGAGATAAATTATTGGCGTGCATCTTGTTCTTGTCCTCATGTTGTGCAACTTCATTCAAAAGTTTACACAATTCATACAGGACAACTTGATAATGGATTGGTACCTTAGTGTTGATAAATTCTTTGAGTTTTGAAACTTGACCTTCTTTTACAGAAGATTCAGATGGCAGAGTTTGCATGTCTGGATTGAGAATAATTTCTTGGAATGCATCAAAAGTCATGAGTGGTTCTTGCAATTCTCTCACAAAAAGTTTCAACACACCAGCAATACTTGGAACAAAGTATGACTTATTCACATATTGGATTTCCTTTCCCATTTCAATATCAATAATGAGCTTTTTCATGTATTGTTCATCAGAGTTTACTCTGAAAACACCTTCTTGATCCAATCCGAATGCTCTAATCAAATCAAACAATTGCTTGATAGAGGGAGGCAAACGTAAAATACCAGAATCATAATCCTGAATCATTACTTGTTCCAATGGTGCACCAAAGACAGTATTTCTATCTGCAGTTATATGTGGGAAAATATGCTTTGGTATCACTGCAATATTACGAACTCCATTAGATTTTGACAAATGACCTTCTTGCATTTGTGCTTCTTCTGCCTTCTTTACTACATTATCCAATTGTTGGAAAAGAGCCATACCAGTACTAAAATAGCAATAGTATGCATAAATAAATGATTTAAGGTCTGAGAAATATTCGGTATCTCTTTTCAATAGTTGGAAATCCAACTCATTATGATAATCAGAGTAGGCATTGTTAAGATTTTTAGCAATTAGTTTGAAATCTTCCTCAACTTTCTTTGTTCTTTCAATATATTGCGGATCATATTCTCCGTGCTCATTTGGCTTGTTTGTAAAACCATCTTTATCTGGATTCACACGAGGTGTTTCCAACTTGAATGATTCATAATCACTTCTTGCAGAATCATACTTGCTCCTAAATTTGGATATGGTTTTTCCTTCATCTCTCATTTCTAGTGTTTTATCTTTGAATTCGTCCAGTTTCATCATCTGTTGAAGTATTTTCAAAACAATATAGTTTCATTATTAAAACCCATACAAAATAAAACTAAAAAACTTACTGCTTGTGACAAGAGTGTTGAAGTTGATTTCAAATTACCACCAAACTTTCGTAAAGTTTCACTCATTTCCTTATTCTTTTTAAACTTGGGAGCAAAATCATTAAACAATGTAGCAATATCATGTTCTTTTTCTATCATTTTCTTTGAACTCTTTTTCAAATCCAACAGTTTCTTCTCCGCTTTCTTATAAAATTCCATCGTATCTTGGTGTTCCTCAAGTGTTGAGAAAAATTCATGTTCAATTTCTAACGGAGGTTTAATTGATGTATTTGCTAATAAATTAGGATTTGAATTGGAAAGTAGTGTTCCCTGACTCGATGATAATGATGATGAGGAAGAACCTGCTGTGTTGTTTGATGTTGTTGCTGCATGAGATGAGGATAGATTAGAATAGGAATTATTCGAATTGTTAGTTGAGGTTGAAGGGAGTGAATTGTTTGCATCGCCGTTATTATTATTGTTGGCAGCAGAACTTTGTGTTCGTTGGAAGAGATTTTTGATTTTTGAGAAGGCTTGTAGGTTATTGCTGCTCATGATGAAAGTTATTGGAAATGTTTCGAACACAATTTGTTTGGGATGTTTGTTGTGAATATCTACAACACACGATTGGAAGGGAACTGTAAAGAGGGTGACTCAGGTTGTTTTTTTTTGCTTGTTTTGACGATCTTGATTTGTGACGTCTGGCAGAAAGAATTGAAAATTATGTGATGACAAGCAACAAAATGTTTTCCGTCATTAAAATTATCATTTTCACACCCTAACCAGGTGCTTAATTAGAAGGAAACATGAAGGATCAACCAACCAATCGAAGCTTTCGCATCCTTTAATGTTTATTAAATTTGTCAATGTGCAACCATCTAACAGCAGATCTGCTGCTTATTGTAATCAAGGAATGGATAATGGACAGTAATTATTGTGAGAACATAACAGTGCAAATTATTTAATAACTTTTTGGGATCAGTTTCGAATATTGTGTGATTGCACCCTGGCAATGTACTCCTGCAATGTTGTTAGTTCATTTTGTTGAAAGTACTATTAAAGTGGACTATTGTTGTGAGACTTTTGCAGACCGTATGTGCTCACTCGGATGATAAGAAGGGTAATTAATACTAATACGAAACATTAATGTTGTGGAAATCTTTCAAAATCAATATCACTCTTGAATGGCTCATCCTAAATTTCACTTGCTTTCTATTGTAATGCATTTTAAAGGGCTTTCTATTATCCATTATACTCATTGTATTAATACTGAAAACACAACAATATGAATTTACAGCACTTGCAGAAATTTGAAATCAAACCTGGTAAAATCAAGCAGAAGCTCTCCACTAACAAAGTAATAGTATTATTAAGGACATTTTCTTATCATCATGTTGAGGAGGAAACTCTTTGAGCCCTTCGATAATTGGTTAACAAACCAAAACAAATTTTCAAGACCTTAATTAGATTGTATTTTACCTTGTTAATTTGAATAGTACCTTATTAATATTTGTGCCTGAATAACAACGCTCGAGCGATTGCCGTTAGAAATATATTGTTCTGTGCAGTAAGAGAGAACTTTCCACAACTCAATTACCAACAGCGTGTAGTGGTGATACCTTGTGGTGATAAAATAACCTTAAAAAAGTGAATCAATACACCTTTACAGCTGAACCTCAAAAATGATGCGAGATTTACGGATTTTTATGATCTATGTGATAGTTGGCTGTATTATTCTGCAATCATCAGCGCCATCATCAATATGGATTTTACAACAGAATAATAGTAAGGAACAAGAATATCGAATAGTTAGAGGAGGAGTATTCGCTCAGGAAATAATATGTGATGGAGTTTATAGTAATTCATCAAGTGTTTGTTCTTCAAAAGGCATGTGTACGGAGAATGAAAAGTGCACATGTTTTGTTGGATATGTAAATCAATATTGTAATGAAACTGCCTCAATAGAGAATTTATTTGCGGGATACTCAATAGTGTCTAGAGCTGGGATTTATGTTACCGAGAGGGATATTAACACAACAGGAAATATTGCTACAACATCATCTCTATTAAGGCAAGACAGTCCATTTGGTATTTATGTCAATGATGGACTGGTCATACATGAACAGGATAGTTTTGCCAGTAACCTTGTTACACAAGCTATGGTATTATTTGACCCATCAAGGTTTACACCAATCTATGACTTTATTTTGAATGATGGTTCCATACCTTATCTGGAGGTAAAAAGTGGAGGAACATACAAGCTAACAGCTGGTTGGAAAGGACCTAGCAAGGTTGTTATTTCAACAGTAGATAGAGTAATTTTTGCTATTTTTGGAGATAATTTTGTGAGTGAAAATGTGGAAGTAGTATTTACAGAATGTGCATCACCTTATAATCTCTATTGGATTGTGGATAAAACAGCCAAGATAAGTGGAAATTTTAAAGGAAATTTAATAGCAAGATCAATAACAGCTTCCAATGCTGTTATTACAGGAACAATATTTTCCATTTCAACAACTGTAAATCCAATTTTAAAAAATGTGTCGTTCACACCATTAGATAACTTTGATCCGTACAAAGGGTTTTCTATTGAACCTCAATGCAGCTTTACATATTGCTATGGAATTGAATCAAGAAACTCTAGTGTTTGTGCAGGGATAGGAAACTGTGTTGGATACGATTCTTGTTCGTGTCCAAATGGTTACGGATTTGATTGTTCTGTGGGCATGTGTAATGGAGTATTATCTACAGATAGTTCTGTATGCTCTGGTCATGGTACATGCAGCTCCAATATTTGTTCGTGCGATAGTGGATTCTCTGGATCGGATTGCTCTATCACAACATGTAATGGTATTCTAAACTCAAACAATGCAAGTTGCAACTCAAATGGACTTTGTAAATATTCAAATACTTGCATTTGTAAGATTGGATACAAAGGAACTTACTGTAATGAGATTGAAACAAGACCAGTTATTTCTCCTCTGGCTGGATATTCAATCATATTAAGTGGATCTTCAATATATTTGAAAAGCTTGAAATATATTGATCTTAGTGGAAGTATAGCTATCGTTGGATCGAAGATTGAACCAACGTCATACTATCATCCTTCGATTTGGGGAGAAATTCTACCAACAAATTACTATCGTATGGAAGGAGCTGCCAAATTACACAAAAATGATTGGGAAGCAAATCAAGCTGTGTCTACAGCCCTTTCTCTGGTTCAAAAGCTATCGGCACTACCATGCAATTACACCTTTGGATTAAATGTTCCAAACTTGTACATTAATCAAGGAGGTGTGTATTGTTTTCCAAATGGTTGGATAGGGCCAAGTAAGGTTGTTATCAATGGCCCAGAGAGAGTCGTATTCAAGACTGGGTATTTGAATTATAACAATTTTGAAGTGACCATGATAAGTAATGCTTCTCCTAGTTCAGTGTTTTGGATTGCTACTCAATTTTTAATAAGTGGTGATTTTAAAGGAACCCTCATGGCCCCCTATGGTGACATTGTTTCAGGATCTAAAATCACAGGAACAATGTTCCTCTTTGCATCTCAGCAAGCTGTACAGAAAACAACTCTATTTCCTCAAGCTT